TTCAGCTATGCTTTGAAGGAAAACAGGGATTTTTGAAAAATTCAAAAGAAAAGGCAGAATGGGGGAGATTATATTCTAGACATTGGAGGAAAGCCTGTGCAAAACCTCAGAGGAAGTTGAAATGTCATATATGCAAAACAGCTAGTCAATTTGCCTAGAATGGGGAGTATGAGGAGGGCAGTAATATGAAATTAAAGAAGAAAAGTATTTCTGGGAACCAGATGTTGGAGGCTTTAAATTCCAGGCTGAAGAGTTTTAAAAATTTTATCTTCATAGCAACAGGGAATTACTGAAAATTTTTAAATTAGGGGAGTATCATCTGTCTTTAGGAATATAACTTTGGCAGTGATATGGAAGATAAGATTGGAAGACACCAGTGGGAGGCTGCTGGAGGCTACCAGCCAGGAGGTGATGGGAGACGTTTTATAGAGGTAGAGCTAACAAGACTTTTCAGTTGATTAGTTAGGGGCTGATGAGTGAGAAGAAAGACTCAAGAATGTCTCTGTGGTTTTGAGCCTTGTTAACTGGGAGAATGGTGGTATTCTTAACAGAAATAGAGAAGCTTGAGAGCAGGACAGGTTGGAGGGAGAATGTTATCCATTGTTTTTAGAAAGTAGGGTCTAATTTTCTTGTAAAAATCTCTCTTTATATCTAGGTCATGTATCCATTTTGACCTTATCTTGGTAAATGGTGTAAGATACTGGTCTGTGCCCAGTTTCTTCCATACTGCTTTCCTGTTTTCTCAACAATTTTTATGGATAAGTGAACAATATATAAATAAACAAGAGAGTAAAGTTAGGTGTAAAATGGATAATTTTGATTACATTAAATTTAAAAAGTTTTGCACAAATAAAACAAATGTAGCCAAGATCAGAAGGAAAGCGGAAAATTGGGGAAAAATTGTATAGACAATTTATCAGATAAAGGTCTCATATCTAAAATATATAAAGAACTTTGTCAAATCTGTAAGAATATGAGTCATTCCCCAATTAATAAGTGGACAAAGGATATGAACCGGCAGTTTTCCAAAGGAGAAATAAAAACAATGTATAGTTATGTGAAAAGATGTTCTAAATCATTATTGATTAGGGAAATGCAAATGAGAACAACCTTGAGATATCATTTTACACCTATCAGTTTGGCTCATGTGCAATCATCTTTTTTATTGTACTGTGTTATGGAAATGATTGTTTTAGTCTATAAATTAAAAATAAAATTTAAAAAAAAAACAAAGTAGGATCTACTTGGGGAATATATTCTGGGATCTTACCCCCTCTAGTAACTGAACTTGTGTGTAAAAGTTGAAGGTATGTATTTGTACAAAAAATACTTACAGCAGTTCTCTTTGTAGTGGCAAAGAATTTGGAATTGAAGAGATAGCCATCAATTGGGGAGTGGCTGAACGAATTGTGGTGTGTAATTGTGATGGAATACTATTGTTCCATAAGAAATAATGAACAGAGTAGTTTCAGAAAAACCTAAAACTACTTATAGTTTCTTACTTATAACAACTGATGCAAGAGAAATGAGCAGAACCAGGAGACCATTATACATAGTAACAGCAGTATTGTAAGGACAGTCAACGGTGGAAGACTTAGCTACTCTGATCAGTGCAATGATCCAAGACAGTTTCAAAGAAACCATGATGGAAAATGCTATCTACCTCCAGAGAAAGATCTGATGAACTCTGAGCACAGACTGAGGCATACTTTTGGACTTTATTTCTTTTTCTTGTGTGTGTGTGGCGGGGGGGAGGTGCTCATGTGTGTTTTCTTTTGCAACATAGCTAATATGGAAATGTTTTGTAAGACTTCACATGCATAATCAATATCATATTGCTTGCCTTCTCAAGGGGTGGAGGAGGGAGAGAATTTGGAACTCAAAATTTAAAACAATGAATGTTAAAAAAAATTTTACATGTAATTGGGAAATAAAAGTACCTTCAATTTGCTTTTGTGAAGCTTGCTTCAAGGGTTATAACTCTGCATATGATCAGTGCTACTTCAAAGTGTGGCACAATATCGATTTGTTGGAAAACTTAAAGAAGTCTTTGAATGGCAGTTGCCACGTGCTCCATATTGAGATGCAGGTGGCACTACCAGGACTTTATTTTTTAGTGCAACATGGACATTATTGGTTTAATAAAGGGATACATAGCCATGGATCAGATCATTTTTGCCTTTTCCACTCAATTGCCGAGCACACATTTCTTCACTGAAGTGCTTAGCTTAATAAAAGTTTCTGTAAGTTGCAACTTTTTTGCAATTGTTTGGGGGTATTTTTTTCTCTCCAAGTTTTGAACAAATGGTAAATAACATTGAATAAACAGCTGCATTGCACTAGCCAGAGATAAGGCTTAAAAAAAAAATTAAAACCATGGATAAGAGCTATCTTTGAGTACAATGAAGAAGAAAATGAGCTTCAGAGCCAGATATATAGGCAGAAAAAGCATCAGGCTCTAGTGGGAAATCAAAGAGTTGTAGCCTCACACTTTTGTTCTGTGTATAATGTGGGAAGGGCTGCTGGCTAAATAGATGTCTTCTCAGTCATATTTGTGTATGTCAATCATGAGCTCTTCCAGGAGGGTCATTTTAAAATATGAAGAACAATTTGTATTTGTGCTCTTATAGACTATATTTGTATGTGTACACTGTTTATTGGTATCTAACACAACCCAAAGATTAGGATACTGTGCCAAGATTGATCACACACACTTAACTTCCATATGTTATTTCAGTCTTATTTAGCTCCCCCTGAGATCTTAAAGACTAAAGCAATTCTGAAAATACAAGTGCTTAGCTCCTTCAGAGGCATCACCTTACTATAGTTTGCATGGAGTTCGGTGTTGAAATTGTAATTTAATATAATGTAATAATATATAATGTAACTAGTTGTCAATTCCAGTGGAAAAACTGGATCCCCATTTTGGCGGGAGTTTGTAGAGCAAGACGAAGTATCCAAGGGTCCAGAAAAAAAGATAACAAAAGTAGCTGTACCTGGAGTCAGGTAGATCTGGGTTGGAATCCTATCTCTGACATTTATAGCTGAGTGGCCCTAAACAATTCACTTAAACTTTCTGGGACTTGGTTTCCTCATCTGCAGAATGGGTGGGGTTGGGCTTAATGACCTCTGATGTCCCTTCCACCTTTAAATTTGTTAAGCTGTGTTTGGTGTGAAAGTGAGAAAGTGTAGAACCATCACTTAATAAATTATTAAATTGATTACTTTATGTGAAGGAGGCAAATGTATAAAAGTACATGTAAACACTCATTAATAGTTGAGACTGTCAGTGATTTTGATCAACACATGGTCCTCTTCTGGAAGCCATATGTGAACTGAACCAATGAAGGAAGTATTCATTAGAATTAACCATGTGCAAAGAGCACTCATTTGCTACATTAAAATAAGCAGGCAGAAATGGTGGATAGACCTTTAGTCTGTTTATATTTATAGAAATGTATTTGTGGTTGGGGGCGAGGGAAGCACTAGGATCTAAGGAGATGACTTAGATTGTCTCTTAAGACGACTGGGAGGAAGCCTAACAAATTGTGACATGTGCACGTGATAGAATGTTATTACACTATAAGGAATGATGAAGGAAGTGATTTCAGAGGATTCTGGGTAGTATAAAAGATGCAGAGTGGGGAACAGAGCCAGGAAAACAGTTTGTACAAGGACAGTGACATCATAAAGACAAACAGCTTTGAAACACAAGAACATTGATCAATGCAGTGACCAGCCATGATTCCAGAGGGCTTGTGAGGAAGCACATTACTCACCTTGTGACAGAGAGGGGAGGGACATAGGGTAGAAAAAGACGAGTTTTGGCATGCCTTTTGTGTGGATCCATTTTTATTGATTGTGTTAATTATTACACATCTTTTTTTCCTCTTTATTTTTCTCATTTTTAATTGAGGGGTACTGGGAGAGAGGAGGAAAGTTAAGCAATAAAAGTGCCCCCCAAAAGAGGGTCATTATAACATTTTTTAAATGAAGAGAAAGAAATTCAGGAGGAAGCACAGACTGGCAGCATAATTTTTAAAGTAACATGGATTATGATATATATTATTTATTATATATATGTGTGTGTATACATATGTCTGTATACAAACTGAAACAATATGAATGTGTATATGTATATATGTATATGTATATATATACATATATACACGCATATACATATTCATATTATTTCAGTCATACCTGACTCTTTGTGACCCCATTTGGGGTTTTCTTTGCAAAGATACTGGAGTGGCTTATCATTTCCTTCTCCGGTTCATTTTTACTGGTGAGGAAACTGAAATAAAAAGGGTTAAGTGACTTGCCCAGGGTCACATAGCTAATAAGTATCTAAGACCAGATTTGAACTCAGGTTCTCCTGACTCCAGAGCCTGTGTTCTCTCTAACCACTACACCACCTAGCTACTATACATACACACACACACACACACACACACACACGCACACACACACACACACGTGCACGTGCACACACACACACGTATTTATATGTATGTATGTATATGTGAATAGGTGCATCTGTGTGTATGTATATGTATACATAAGTATATGTGTGAATATGTGTATATCCATACATATATATTTTGTAAAGCAATCATTATTTAGATAATAATAATAATAATAATAACTAATATTTATGTAGAATTCTAAAATGTGCCAAGTGCTTTTAATTATTATCTCACCTGCCCTGGGAGGCAGGTGCTATGATTATCCTCCTTTTACAGAAGAGAAAACTGAGGCAGATACAGGTTAACTGACTTGCCCAGAGTCACATAGCTAGTAAGCATCTAAGGTGGGATACAGGTCTTCGTGATTCCAGGTGTATGATAGCACGCTATTAATTGCATCATGTGGAGAACATGATTTCATATAGAATCTTCTTGTTATGTTCTATTACATGCATGAAAATGCTCCTTTGTGTTTAAATTCAAAAATTTTAAAATTAAACAAAAAATATGTGTTTCCCCCATCTTTTATAGACTCCATTTGAGCCTGTTCCAGTATCTCTTGTTCCTGCAAATGGGGTACAGGTGCCAGGGAAGAAGCCAGTTTGGAAAGCAGTTAATTGTGAGTAAGCTACCATATAATCAAACTTCACTTTACCTGTCTCTTCATCTTTTTGGGGGGAGGGGGAAGGGTGAGAGGGTTACACTATGTGTATACAAAACCAGTAATGATTGCAGTAGTTCCTAAAAAAATCCACATATGAGTGTATTAAAAACACACTCTCTTTTTCTTTATTATTTGCCACATACTTGAGAAATAAAATAAATTGGGTCCAAAAGGCTTTGTTTCTTATCAAACGTATGACTAATTTCTTTGATTTAGGGACTGGTGTTCTGAATCTGCTTAAAAGTCAAAAGTAATCTGGGAAATAGGCATGAAATCCATTCATGGATTACTGATTCAATTATATGTCAAGTACTAAAGTTGACACAAGGATAGAATTTTGTTGTAGGTTTCCTCTGCAAGTAAGGTGGCCTCGTTGTTGAGGAGACGACTCCCATAAGGAATATGGTCCTTCTGGTCCTTGTTAGCAGCCCTAAACAAATTGCTATAGATAACCAACAGGGGCTCCCATTTTATGGGTAAGTTCTAGAAAATGGCAGAAAGGGGACCTTCCAGCAGTTATCATACTTTGCCCCTTTGTTACCACACTGTTATTAAATTTAGACTATGCTGCAAGAAAGGAGATGATCATGTGGCCACTAATGTGGGGCACCCATTTTATATGGGGCACCCTCTTCTAGTCAGTCCGCCTGATTCTTAGAAAGTTCACAGATTTCAGAGTTGGAAGAGACTTTGAAGTTCATGCCAATCCTTACCTTCACAAGAATCTATTCTGTCATGTGTTTGACAAATAGTCATCTAGCCACCAATGGAAGACCTTCTAGTAAGGAGGAGTCCCACTTTGGAATAACACCAACTCTTAAGGAGTTTCTTTTTATATGCCGCTTAAATCTAAATCTGTCTGTCTGCAGTTTCCACCCATTCACTGTTACTAGTTCTGCCCTCCGGTATCAAACAGAAGAAATATTAAACTATTTAATTTTAGTTAGCATATATAAAGCACTGCAAATCTTTAGATGCCTTGTAAATGCTAGCCATTATTATTACTAATAATAATAATAATAATAAATTTTTAAAAAATTAAAATCAACACTACACAACAAACTCAGCTTGCTTATTCCCTATTTATTTAGATGAATAAATTTTATGCATAGAGTATTGACCATTTTCAGTCACTTCCTCTGCATTTTCCTAAGTTTTCTTTGATCTTTCATTCTCATTCATATTTCCTCTTATGACCAAAGGTATTGTGTGCTCATAGACATGTATAGAACTCTGTAGGTGTGTTGCTTCATCTTGTAGTAACCATTATTATTGATCTTTCTTCCTCTACCCAGGAGAAAGACCAATGCTAATGTTTCCTACAGGGTTTGCCATATATTCTGTTCTTCGTATTCAAGTAGAACAGGACTAATAGATGGCCATAACCAGCCTACATCCAGGAATTCACTGACCCCTGCTTTGACCATCAGTGCAAGATCAGGGAAAGGACATCCATCTTGCCCCAGAGGGTATCTCTTTTCCTTTACTGAGATCCTGATAATCAGATAAATACTGCCTTTGCTATTCTTTGGTAGCAATCTGCTGACCTTTGGTGCCAGAAAGAATCCTTATGATTCTTAGCCAAGGTTTCCTCCTCTGACCACTACTCCATTCTCCTTCATAACCAACCATGTCATATCCATCCTTATGGTGTCTGTATCCCACTGTTCCCTACCCTAACTTTGTGCCCTCTGGACCTACCATTCTATTAACAAACTCCCCTTCCTTTTAGACCTGTGGCCTACCCCTACAAATTACTTGCATATATTTCATATTTGTTTCTATGTATGCATGTTGTTTTTCCCCAGTAGAATGAAGGATCCTTGAGGGCAGGGGCTGTACATACCCCTGGCACCTTGAATACTGCCTGGTACTTGGTAGTTATTTAATACATGAACATTGAATTGAATTCACTTCTTCCCCTAAGCCTTCCCTGATCCACTGCCTTCCTAAAATGTAGCTCTTGGAACTCAATACAGTCCTATAGATGTAGTCTTCCAGTGGCGTTATCAGCTTCATCTCTCAGTGCATGCAGCCCAAGATTCTGATGCTTGAGAGACACTGAGCCTAGCTATTAGATGTGACTGATTTTAACACTATTTTGGTGGCAAGTTGGAATATGTCCAAGAACACACAGCAAAATGTAAAAACTGAGAGGTGCAAGTGGAATGGAAATGGTCTGTTTGAGCAGTAGCAACAGGATTGACTTCATGCTCCATGTTGGGCAACACTGAATTATTGTTCAACTTAAATTCATTGGTTTGAGTCTGTCTGATGGCCCTTGCGTTCATATGAACTCTCTGACCACCTAGCCAGGTGGGTAGGTGGAATGCTTTTTATAGTGTTGGGGGCACCATTTGACAAATGGCTCATGATACGTCCTCATGTCCTTTGCTCACATTTTCAGCCAACAGTTGTCTTGACTGTGGATTAGATAAAGACACTCCATCAGTAGCAGAAGAGTTGTCCTTTGAAGTTTCTTTCTCAGAATCCATCACAGAGATTCCCAAAGAAAAAGAAGGTCTTAAATCACAAAGGTTTAAAAAAGAAGATTCTTCCTTAACTGTAAGTAGTACCCTTCATGTTTCTGCTATTATCTTTTCTCTATACAACTAACTGACTGTGACCTCTGACAAATCACCTCATCCCTCTTTGCCTCATTTTCCTCATCTGTAAAATGATGGGGTTAGTCTAGATGACTTTTCAAGTCCCTTCTTTCTATGATTCTAATTTCCTGCTGGATTCCCTGTAGGGCAAAGAGCAGGATATTTGATGTATGTGTGTGTTGGTGTGTGGGTGTTTAAGAATTTCTCATTCTGAAAAGGGCCATCCTGCTTAGCTTTTCCATTTTCTAGCCTTTTCCTGTAATATATGAACCATATTCTTCTTTGTAATGTAAACAGGAATAATGCTCTGAGTAGGTCAGTAAACAGTTCAGTGCTTCCATAGAAAAACAAGCTTGGCCTCCTTTGGGGACAGTTAAAACAAGAGGAAATAGAAATGGTGTATTACTGTAATACGGTTACTCTTACCCAGAATTCATCTATACTGTAACTTCACCTATATAGAACACTGTCAAGGTCCAGGAAGCAAACTAAATATAGGTATCTGAGCAACCAAAATAGATTTCCCAAAATCCATGTTCTAAAGCTTATGGATATCATATGTGAGAGAACCTCTCAAAACCCTCACTCAGAACTTAGTTACTTATATTTTACATGCAGTATTTTTTTCTCTTTTTCCAATTACATGCAAACTTCCTCTCCTCCCCACTACCTGAGATGGCAAGCAGTTTGACATAGGTCATACGTTATGTGTAGCTCTAATAAGCTTGTTTGATATGTCCTGGATAAAACAGATGACATCATTTATTCTTTCTAGGGTGGATGACTCAGGCTCTGCATGAGGGCATTGGAATTTAGAGGGCAGAAATTTTAAATAATCATTTTAAATGATTGTGCGACTTGAAAAACAGAACTTTCACTCTAGCAACAACAACAACAACAAAACCCTAGTCATCAAGAATGCTTAATTAAATTAGGAAAAGACCATTTAGGAAAGTTCTTCTCCTTAGCAACCACAAACCAAATGAGTTCATCCCTTGGCCAATCCCATCCTGTTCTTCCTTGGTTATCATTTCCCCCAGCAGTGGAATCACAGTATTAATTCCATTCCCACTTTCCTGCCAAAGGGCCAATGTCCTAGTGTCTCTCCCACTCTCTCCTATGAACCTGTTACTCATTATCTCATTGAAATAAGTGTACCCTTCCAGCTACGTATCACAACTTCTTCATATCTCATTCTGTACAATTTGTGTCCTGTCATTCCACAATTTCCAATAAAGGATATAGTGAACATATTGGAAGTCTCCATTGGTTCCATTCACATTTTATGTTTATCGGTGTCCATCCATTACCCCCTCATTCTTTCCCTATGACTAGTCTACCTCCATTTTCAATTATATGTGTGTTACCATTACTCACATTCAAGTCATTCCTGTTGATATGCTGTAGCTTACTTGCACCTATGGAGGCAGCCAGGTGTTGCAGGGAATGGAGTACAGGACTTGGAACCTAGAAGACCCGAGTTCAGATCCTACCTCAGATGCTTACTAGTTGTGACCTTGAGCAAGTTAACTTAACCTATGTCGGCCTGTTTCCTCATCCATAAAATGGTGTTAATGATAGCACTTATTTCCCTAGGTGGTTGTGAGAATCAAAGAGATAATATTTGAAAAGCAGTTTGCAAACCTCAAAGTGCTATATACATGCCAATTATTATTATTATTACCTGTTTGTTGTTGTTGAGTCATTTTTCAGTCATGTCTGGTTCTTTGTGACTCTATTTGAGGTTTTCTTGGCAAAGGTATTTAAGTGGTTTCTCATTTCCTTCTCCAGCTCATTTTGCAGGGGAGGAAACTGAGGCAGACAGGCTTAAGTGATTTGCCCAGGATCATACAGCTAGAAAGTGCCTGAGGCCAGATTTGAATTTGTGAAGATGAATCTTCTAACTCTAGGCCTGGCACTCTATCCAAAGTGCCACCTAGCTGCCCCTTTATTAACTATAGTGCAATGTAGAATGTTGCAATTAAATCCAAAAAACTTAATACTTCTAAATAAGCATAAAGATTATCTCCCAGAGGTCTTTAGAGCATGCCTGTTTATTATCTGTCTGTGGAATGATATGCCATCCAGAATTTTTATGAGCAAAATCCTCTTTGCTATTTAAATATCATTTCAGGAGATTGAGGGTCCGTGAAGTGGGAGACAGAGAAAAATCCAAATTTTTTATTTACAGTATGGAGAGAATGTGCCTTCTGTACCTCCTGTACTGTAGTTGTTATGCTAGCATTTCTGCCAGGGTATTCAGGGGGGTCAGGAGTCAGGGCTGCTGCTGGAGTATCAATATTTTGATGGATGTAGAAACTGGTTGTCATCTAGTGGGGCCTGGGTAGAGTGGGGAGACTCCTGTTCATCATGTGCTGATCAAAGTGGATGAGTTAGAAAAGTACTTTAAGGGAAGAGATGGATGAGATGTTGGAGTTATAAGCGAGTAACATATGGGGTGCTTGGTTTTGGAGCTTCATCCCTGGCCTCAGCTCATGAATGTGCTTAGGTGCCTCTATCAGTTCAAGCGGATGTGCTGCCGCCGCCGTACTATCATTCAGCACCCCTACAGGAATAAGGAACCAAATGAAGGTATCAAGTCAGATTCAGCCTGACCTTGTCTGTCAGAATTGTGGGAGCTGAATTAGCTTCTGGTGTTCTGCCCCTCGAAAAGCACTTTCAGGGGCCCTGGGCAAAATCAGGTCAGCCAGAGGGACACTTTGACAAAATCCCCACAATCTCGCCTTTCCTTTAAAGAAGCTTTCCATTTTTTCAACATGCATTGGCAGAAATTCATTGTTCGAAAAAGCAGATTTGGATTAACTGAAGTAGGAGACCTGTCGGTTGAAGACATGAAGAAGATTCGCTATCTCTCTCTCATCGAATTGACAGCCTTTTACGATGCTCTGGGGATTGAACTGAAGAGGAACCGAACAGACAAAGTAAAAGGACGAGGTAATCTGAGTGGTGGGTACCACTGATTCCAACACTGGGGAGCACTGCAATGAGGTATTGCTTAACTGGTTCCCTTTTCTTTCTTTCCTTCATTTTTTCTTTAACTTTGAAGAAAATGGACTTTTCGGTGTTCCACTTACTGTCCTGTTGGAAAACGATCAAAAGAAGTTACCTGGAATTAAAGTTCCTCTTATCTTCCAGAAAGTGAGTAGAATGCAAATCCATATCATTGGTGGGACTGAGACACTATACGTTTGGTGCTTTTTAAGCCCGTGATTGAATGATTACTTGGGTTTTTAGATAGTATATGTTTGATACTTATTAAATTCATTATTGAATTTTTACTTAGGTTTTTTGATATCGTATGTTCGGTACTTATTAAATCTATCATTAAATTATATTTAGGTTTTTAAATAGTATATGTTTGGTATTTATTAAACCCATTATTAAGTTATTACTCAGATTTTTAGAGAGCAGTTAGGTAGTACAATGGAGATAGAGCCCTGGGCTTGGAGTCAGGAAGACCTGAGTTTAAATCCAGCCTCCAACACTTACTAGCTGTGTGACCCTTTGCAAGTCCCTCTCTGTTTGTCTCTTGATCTGTAAAATAGGAATAATAATAATAGCACCTACCTCCCTGGGTTGTTGTGAGGATCAAATAAGCTGATAAATGTAAAGTGCTTAGCAGAGTGCCAGGCTCATAGAATAGAAATAGCCATATAAATATTAATTATTGTTATTTTTAGATATTTTAGAAGTTATTAGAACTGTTGTTAAATTATTACAAAGGGTTAAAAATGCAAACACTTCATTTACACATAGAGCCAAAATTGATATTTCTTAATCTTGTAGAACACCCTTCCTAAATTCCCACAAGAGCTCTCTTTGGCACCATTTAAATTATCTAATTTGGTTCAATAGTTCAATAAACGTTTGTTAAATGCTGGTGATGTTCAAGACACAGTGAGCCAGGTTGCTGGGGATATGAAGCTGCCATGAGTCTCTGCTTTCGAATGGCTTATCATTGAATGAGGGGAAGCATAGTACACAAATAACTGTGATACAAGAAGAATAAGATATGGATGAGAGAAAAAGAACCCCAGACAAAGTGTTATAGGAAATTTCAGAGGGGAGGGACAGTGGAGGGATGGTAAGGTGAATACATGGGGTATGGTATAAGCAAAGCGTGGAGGCCAGAGAAGGGCAGGACACGAATAAAGGCTAGAGAGTAAGTCTACTTTGTTTTTGGCTGGAATATAGAACACCTGAAAGGGGGTAAGATGTGGTAAGGCTGGGTTCAGATTGTAGAGGACTTTGAATGCCAGGTTTATAAACTTTGCCTTTGTTTAGTAGGCAGTGAGGAGACATAGAAAGTTGTTGAGAATAGGGGTGGCAGGAACTTTGCAGTATATTATGAAGATAACTTGAATAGTAGGGTGGAGGATGAATTAAGAAACACATGGAGTAGAAACAAGATGAACAGTTTGAAGCCTATGACTATGGTCTGGTTGAAAAGAGATAATGCCTTCAGATATAAGGCAGCTTGTTGCAATGGAAAGAGTGCTGGATTTGTAGTTAAAGGATATGGGTTTGAATCTCAGCTCTGGCACTTACTGCCTTTTCTGCCTCTTTGGGCCTCAGTTTTTCTCACCTGTCGAATGAAGGGATTGCATTGTTGTTGAGTCTTTTTTCAGTTGTGTCCCACTCTTTGTGACCGTATTTGGGGTTTTCTTGGCAAAGATACTGAAGTGGCTTGCCATTTCCTTCTCCGTCTTATTTTACAGATGAGGAACTGAGGCAAACAGGGGTAAGTGACTTGCCCAGGGTAACACAACTAGTAAGTATCTGAGGCTTGGATTTGAACTCATGAAGATGAGTCTTCCTATTCCAATCCTAGTGCTCTGTCTACTATGTCACCTATGTGTATCAAAGGTCCTTTCCAACTCGAAGTCTATGATCCCATGAAATATGGTGATGGTAGTGGGAGTAGAGAGTATGGCTGCAAGACACTTTATAGAAGTGGGAACAATAGGCTTAGAAAGTGAATGGATGTGTGGAGTGAGGTGTCACATGAGATGACGCCAATTCTACAAGCTTGGGGAGACTGGACAAATTATGTTGCAAACAGAGAGAGAAGAGGCTGAGGGAGGGCTAGATTTGGGTGGAGAAATTTGAGAGGTTGTAAAGACATCCAGGGGAATATCTAACAGGCAATTGGAGATATGGGTGTGGATCCCTGGCCGAAGCTGTGAGGGAAGATGTAGATTTGGGAATCACCTGCATCGAGGCTGCAATTGAAGCTGTGAGAGTGGATGAAGTCATTAAGGTAGAGAGTGTAGGAAGAGAAGATAAGAGGGTCTTAGACCAAATGTTAGGAAACCCTCACGTTGAAGTGGTAGGATGATGGAGAGCAGCCAGCCAAAAAGTCAGAGAAGAAATCATCAGAAAGGTAGGAGAATCTTGAAACTAGAGGGAGAGGGGATGGGCCAGTGTCATGTGACATAAAGAAGTTAAGGATGATAAAACCAAATTTTTTTAAAAATCATATCTGATAATAAGGAGATCAGTAGTGACACTGCAGAGAATTATTTCAGTAAGGTAGTAAAGATGGAAGTCAGATTGCAATGGGTCAAGGGAGGCAAGAATGTGGAGGGGGAGAAAGAAAGAGTTTGACTGTGAAGAGTTGGGAACCACGTGAGATGATGACTTGATGGCAGTGGCAAAATCATGGGAAGGGATTCATTTAGGGGAAAAAAAAGATACAGTAAAGATCTAGGCATATTTGCTGGTTGAGGGTAGGAAGCTATTAGTGAGAGAGAGAATTAAAATATATAAAGAGTGATAATTGATTGAAGAGGTGAGGTGAAGGGTATTGGTAGAAGGATTCAGTTTAGCAAGGAAGGGGACTGCCTCTTTCTTTTAGATTAGGGAGTAGAGAATGGGTGAGGATATGGAGAAGAGGAAAGAAGTACAGGAGGGAAGCTGAGGAGTTGAGGGAATTCATTTAGAGGCAGAATATTGTTGTGGAAAGAGAATTGGAACTGGAGTCTAAAGATCTGAGTTCAAATCCCATTTCTTACCTTAACTATGTTACCTTGACTAAGTGACTCCACCTGTCTTTCTTCATCTATAACATGAGGACCTCGGTTTCCTCATCTGTACGGTCAGATGATCTCTGAAGTTCCTCCCAGCTCCAAATCTATGCACTTGGTTCCAGTGACCATATGTTGACTGTTACAACTCAGTGATACCAGATTTTCTCTACACTTTGTTTTGCATGAAAGGAGATAGCAGGTATTTTCACAAGTTGCTTACTTTATTTTTCCCCCAATAGTTTCTCCAAATTTAATATATTTGTTGTACAGTTTGGAATGGAAGACGACATGTTTTTGTAAGCAAAGGCATTTAGCAAGTCGGTTGTTTCCATATACAATTGCATGTTAGATTAGCCATTAAAAATAGTTTTACATTTTGAGAGCTTATTTTCCAAACACTGATGAGCAAAACTAAACAATTGGTTACCTGGGACTCTTTTTTCTTAGTGTGACCCTAATAAAGAAATATTTTTAGGGAAGCATTTTGCAAAACATTTTTATGTTATATAAATTGTAGTTGCAGGTATCCTTATTGCTTTTTAAACAAGATTTTTTTTTTTATCACCCAAGAGATCTTCATTGATTTGCGTAACTGTGAATCTGTAGTGACATCCAGTGGCATAGTTAAAATGTCAAAGCAGAAATATATCCATAAATTCAAACCCTTCTAAATTTAAAATAGTACCTTTAAAATGCTGGATGAACTATTGTCATATACTAGTTAAGAACTAAAATCTTTGCAAGTTTCTTCTCCTTTGCATACTGGCTCACCAAATTGTGCCCCTCCACTGCTGATATCTAGCAACAGCTTGAGCTTTTCCTCCTGAGCCACTTTTCATGGTACCAAATACTGAATACTTCTATTCATACACTATATAAAAGACAGAGTTCAAAGAAACTTTATATAATTCAAGTCTAAGAAACCACAGTATAATACTTTCAGTTGATAACACATTCTTCCAGCTTTCAGTACTATTTTTTGTTGCCAGATCTAGAGATGATTGTATCTTTTATCTTCCTTCCTGCTGTGGACCTGTCTCCAGAAGGACTCTAGTTACTTAACCAAGGTTTACAAGACTGGCGATAGAATTCATGCCATGACGGATGTAGCATAGGACCCCTGAAGCTTTCTTGTTAGTTTATGCTCTCATTTGGAACAACTGAATTATACAGTTTTTTTTAAGACATCACCATGAAAGAATTTTAATGGATCAATGAGCACCATGAAGTTTGATGCAACAAAGAAAAATAACAGCAACAACAAAAAAAAGCACAGACTTTTAAATATCTGATAAAAGTTTAGTACATTAACTATTAGCTGGGCAGCTGGGTGGTACAGTGGATAGAGGTGGCCCGACAGTCAGGAAGACCTGAGTTCAAATTTGGCTTCAGAACTGTAACCCTGAGCAAGTCACTTCATGCTGTTTCCCTCAGTTTCCTCATCTGTAAAATGAGCTGCAGAAGGAAATGGCAAACCATTTCAGTATCTCTGCCAAGAAAACCCCAAATGAGGTCACAGAGAATCAGACATGACTGACTCAAAAACAACAACACATTAACTATTGAGTAGGCATGAGGAAGGAAACAAGCATGAATTATCACCTACTATGTTCCAGGCCCTGTACTAAGTACTTTACAGATTTTTTTCTCATTTGATGCTCACAAAAAACTGCTAGTGATAATGATAATAGGTGCTATCATTGTCCCACTGAGGAAATTGAGAAAGACTGAGGTTAAGCAACTTGCCTAGGTTCACCCAACTGTTAAGTGTCGATGAGGATGGATTTGAACTCAGGTTTTCTTGACTCCAAGCCCAGTACTCTATTGACTGTGTCCACCTAGTGGCTTGATTTCTCATGTATGAGAAATGTCTTAATGATTTTATTTGTATGTAATTTTTTAAAAATAATGTTAAATGACTGTTATTTGGGCAATTTTTTTTTCAAATCAGATGGAAGACATGTTTTTAAATGTACTATTGTGTTTTAGCTTTTGCAGAAACTTGAAGAAACAGGTTTGGAAACAGAAGGAATTCTTCGAGTCCCCGGATCTGCATCCAGAGTCAAGGTACCATGCATTTCCTCTGTCCCAGTTAGAGATTTAAGTTCAATTCATACTTGGGTCATTTCTAGAGTTACCTGTTTTATTTGAATTTGATGGGACATGGATAAAAACAATAATGCTAAGACTTGACATGACATTTAACCCTTATAGTTTATAAATCTATAATTGTATTACTTGAATTATCTCATCTTATTTGTCAAAACCACATCCAATCCAATCCAATTCAGCTATTGTTCAGTCGTTTCAATTGTTTCTCACTTCATGGCCCCGTTTTGGGTTTTTTTGGAGAGGGTATTGGAGTGGGTTACCGTTTCCTTCTCCAGCTCGTTTTACGGATGAGGAAACTGAGGCCAACAGGCTTAAGTGACTTGCCAAAGGTCACACAGCTAGTAAATGTCAAGCCAGATTTAAACTCAAGAAGATGAGTCTTTCTGACTTCATGCTGGGCGCTCTATCTGCTACAACACTTAGCTGCCCAATTTAACTATGAAATACCTTTTATATTATATGCAAGATATTATGGTAGGTTGTGTGTATGCAAATGCAAAACAATCTTTGCTTTCAAGAAGCCTATATCCAACTGGCAGGATGGGATGTACTCATGTAAGTGAATATAAAATCATTTCTATAAGCAAGAGAGAATTAAACTTAGAATCCATAGTATTAGATATTTGTTCTGCAGACATGGGGACCAGACTGTTGCCTTGGGTCCCTTATGTGCATTCAAAAACACATCCTACAACAAGCTCACTTGAGGATGAGTCTTAATTTTATAATCAGGGACCATAAGAATTATTTTATTCTTATAAGAACTGGAGTTTTCAGTTGTTGCTTTGTGTATAATATACTATCAAGTTAGATACATTTTTCTTTTCTATGAAGTTAGTAAATATTTTATAATGCCACTCTTTTTCTATCATTTGCTTTAATTTGGTTTCTTCATTATAAGATTTTGAGTTATAAATTTTTCTCCTTTCCTCCCCCACCCTCTCCCCAGGACAGCAAACAGTCTGATATAGGTTATACATGTGCAGTTGTGTTAAACACATTCCACATTAGTCATGTTGTGAACGAAGAAATAGAACAAAAGAGAAAAACCATGAAGAAAAAAAAGTGAAATTGCATGCTTCAGTCTGCATTCAGACTCCATAATTTTTTCTCCAGATGTGGATAGCATTTTCCATCATGAATCCTTTATAAATGTCTTAGATCATTGTGTTGCTGAGAAGAGCTAAGTCTATCATAGTTGATCATCACTCAATGTTGCTGTTACTATGTACAATGTTCTCTCCTGGTTCTCATGCAAGAGTTTTAAAACCCCTGTTCTCCATAGGAAAAATTTGGACCCTCTAGGGCATAGTTACTACTTTATTTTCCTTCGGTGCTGGTGAAGCTCTAATTAAAGGAAGATGTACCTATGAAGGAAAAGCCCCTCTCATTAAGTCTAGCTTTATGAAGATTCCCCTTTTATACATAGGATTCAAGATCCTGAGAAAGAAGGAGTGACTAGCAGCTGATAGAAGGTCACAGAAGACCAGTGGGAGGTGGGGAGTATATACTTATTTTGGTTCTCAAGCTAAGTACAGAGAATTTGTAGAACCGAAGGGATATCCCTTCATTAATTCTGCTATTATATACTTAGAAGAATTTCTATTTGTAGGGGAATTAATAGGGCAACTAGGTGGCATAGTGGATAGAGTGCCAGACCTGGAGTCAGGAAGCCTTGAGTTCAAATCTGGCTTCAGACACTCTGTGACCCTGGGCAAGTCACTTAACCCTGTTTGCCTCAGTTTCCTCATCTGTCAAATAAGCTGGAGAAGGAAATGGCAAACCACCTTAGTACTTTTGCCAAGAAAACCCCAAACAGGGTCATGAAGAGTCGAACAGGACAGAAATGATTCAAACAAAAACAAAGGGTTGAATTAATAGAATAATAAAGGATACCACATGGCACTTGAAGATTTGTAAAGCACTTTATGTAGATTATCTCATATGCACCTCACAACAATCTTGTGAGGTGCATATGAGATAATCTACATAAAGTGCTTTACAAAAACCTTGTGAGGTGGGTGCTATTATTATCCCCATTTTACAGATGAGGAAACTAAGTCTGAAATAGGTTAAATCAAGGGTTCTTCACTTTTTTGTGTTGTAGATCCCTTCTGTAGCCTGGTGAAGTGAAGCCTATGGAGAAGTCCTCCTCAGTATTTTGTTTCTTAATGCACAAAATAAAATACATAAGATTACTGAAGAAAATAATTATTTTGAAATAGTTTTCAAAGAATTTTTTAAGAGACCATAGATCCAAGGTTAAGAACCTTTGGCTTATATGATTTCCAAGAAAAGCAATTATATTGAAATAAACATAATCAATTTTTTAAAAGTTCATGGATCCCAGGTTAAGAACCCTTGGGTTGAATGATTTGTTTCAGGGTCTTACAGCTAGTAAGTACAAGAGGCAGGTTTTGAACTCAGGTCACTTTGACTCCAAATCCAGCTTTCCGTCCTCTATGTCATCTACCTGCCCCTAAAGAGTGACTAGATATTATTCTTCTTTGGGGCTTTTAAACCCAGGGGTACAAATTATAAGGCAAGATAAAGGAAGAAATGTTCCTGAAAGAAAAGCGCCCATAAATGTCAGCTTTGTGAGGCCTCCATTCTGAAGATATGCATACATGAAAAGTTTGCTGTTAGGCACAAGGTACTCTTGAAGATAGGAAAATGGACTAGCTTATGTCCTAAAGTCAAGTCAAGAAGTCTAGGTCTGTAGTCTCTGTAAAGCATATGCGTGAATCATGAATCTTGGCCCCATATGTTTTTTTATAAAAGTCTGAAGGAGAGCACTGGAAAAGGAGGAAGAAAGAGAGAGGGAGTCAGTCTGTAATAGGCACGTTCTAAATTTACAGATGAAAGATAACGCTTTTGAGTTCAGTCTTGGTTTGTTTAAGTCTGTCTAATCAGGCAACCAATCAGAAGTCAAGGAAACAAGTTTCCTAAGCAGAACCAGATCCTATCTTTCCAAGCCTTCATATATTATTGTGACATTTGGATTTGCAGACATTCCAGCTGGTTCAGGCTGTGTGTGTGTGTGTGTGTGTGTGTGTGTGTGTGTGTTAAAAAAAAACACAACATGTGGATGTGATTAAAAATCTCTTTCCTTTTTATAACTAAGTGCAGAAGACATAATACAAGACATCTTGTATATGTGCGTTATGGCACATTATAAACATTTCATGGACAATCACAACTTACTCCTAAGCTTTTGTTTGAAAATGCTTACAAACCTTACTTTTAAGTGGGGTTAATGATTCTCCAATGCCAGATTTCTTTGTGACTACTTTTACACAAGTATATTCCTGAGCTATGGTCAACATGAAAATGACCGTGTTTTAAAAGCAACCCTTCTCTACTGATGTATTTAATAATGTTCAAGTTCTTTATTTCACCCATCTTGTTTGAAAGAAGAATGTAATCCAGCTATTCTAATCATTTGGGCTCCAAGAAAGCAAATAGGAAGATGTTTGAGAGAACAATGTAGAGGAGCAAAAGGGAAAAAATGTTATTAGAAAGGAATTGTAACCTTATATCCTAAATATTGAATAACTCTGGATTGCTTTTCCTTAGCCAGACTTTTTATTCAATTATGTGTAACTGCATTTCTTAGGCAGTCTTCTAGGCATGAGTGGAGAACATAAGCAGTGTATTTTTAAATAAAATACATAAGATTTTAAGTCTCCATTTTTCTTGGTAGGTTCAAATTCAGCCAGCAAAAACACGGTTTCTAAAATGTACCACTGTAAGATTCTTGCCCAGTTTTTTATATATTAAAAACTTCATTAAAAAATTACTGGAAGGCTGGGGCAGAGGGGAAATCACTGGTTTCAGCCAGACAGGACATACAGATGCCAAGCTAGTCCTGATCTGTGAGGCCAGCACTAGTTGGAAGCAGTTAAAAGCTTTTTCTTTTTCAGTGACTTTCTTCTTAATAAAGGAAGGACACTTGAACCAAGCACTGGGGAAATATATTTTATGGAAGAGGGTCGAATGTATGATCTGTGAGATTTTCTTCATTCCAGGTTTCAGTATTTCTCAGGATGGACTGTTGTCTAATCATTTTAGCTGCTATATATATTGGTTCCCTTGTGATTGAATCTAAAGATGCAGGCTCTTGCAACATTTATTTAAAAAAAACAACAAACCAACAAACAACCTTTCTCACAAATGAAAGCGACATTTTTTTTTCTCTTAGGGGTGATTTAAGTTCATGAATTTCATGTTCTTCTATTCTCATTAACCTTGAACAGATAACATGATGTCCTTTACAGTTCCCCTCTGCGTTTTTTTTTTCTTCATTCTAATATGGCAAAATACAGTTTTTGCACCTGGATCAGCTGTCTCCAGACTTTAAGCTGGGCCAACATTCTACTATGGCAGAAACAAAAGAGGGTTGGTTTTCTTTCTGTTAATTAAAAAAAAAACCAGCCCCGTGGTATCATTGGTGATTCTGTTGTTGTTTGAATTCCCCAGACATCCATAGTTTATGTGCTATTTTTTTTAAAACTGCTTCCGCCCATTATTGCCCCATTTTACAGATTAGGAAACAGAGGCAGAGGTTTTGATTTGCCTATGGTCGCCTTGTTGGACCTTGAACCTAGGTCTTCTGATTCCAAATCAGGAGATGTTGCTACTGCACCACATTTCTCCTTTGTTCCATTCCCTTAGAACAGATGTACTAGATAATGGATGGCAGGAATGGAGCTCTTTTTAAAGCAATCTTTCTGCCTGTCATTCTTTTCAGTAGCTATGTAGTGGAGTTATAAAGACCCAGGCTGAGCTCCCACCTGAGAACATACTAGCTTCATGACCACAGACAACTCTCAGTGCCTCAAGCAACTAAGACTATAAGTTATAGATGATTTTTAAAAAATTATTTTTAACATTCATTTAAAAAAATGAGTTCCAAATTTTCTCTCTCCACTGAGAATAAAAGCAATATGATATCAATTATACACGTGAAGTCATGCAAAGCATATTTCCTATTAGCCATGTTGCAAAAAATCCCCAAAACAATCAAAGCAAGAAACATAAATAAAGTGGGAAAAAAAGTTTGCTTCAGTCTGCAGTCAGAGTTCATCATATCTCTCTCTGGAGGTGGATAGCATTTTTCATATTAATCATCTTGGGTCATTACAGATGATTTATTTATCCTGCATTGGTAGAATGAGTTTCTACTTAGAAGTTCCCTAAACCTATAAAATCACAGGTTTTGGCCCCATTTTGCCCTCCCCACAAGGATATCTGCTTTATAAAATATATTGATTGTTGTTTGAATACATAGTGATCTATCTTATCTCTGTTGGCTTGAAAGTTTGTCAGGGGCATAAATCAAATCTTCACAATTCTAAAGAGTCCAAGTAGTAAGCCATTTTTTTCTGCTGTACTTCAAACATTTCCTATTTTTGCTGATTTAAATTAGGATGTATGGCAAAAGATAGGGAGCTGTAGAGCAAATTGGTCACCATTTGGCCAATTGCCTAGCACATAGTAGGTGCTTAATAACTTAAAAAAAAATTTTTTTTCGTTAAAAGCAGATCAGATGTGGCCTAAAATTAAATACACCCCTGACTGAAACCTGGTTTAAATTGTCCATAAGCTAATTATTCTCGGCCTCTCTATTCTAATGCCCTTCTCATGGAGATCAGGATCTTCAGAGGGACCCTTCTTATGTTTGCTTCAGGCAAAGCCATGTACTCTATTAATCTCATGCTAACATAAGCAGTAAGGCACGAGATTGGCTTTGGGGGGGGAAAGTGTTGGAAAAAAGGTGACAAGTAAAAGTGGGTATCCTGAATGTAAACCAGCCAGGCTTGTTAGACTTTTTTGGAGGCCAAATAATCTTTGAAAACCATTTTTAAGATTTAAAAAGCCAGCAGAGGCTTTTTAAGTTATGAAAGCTCAGACACTCAAGAAAAAAAAAAAACCAGCACATGTGGAAGAGGCCTGTATGTCTTGGCTGAAAAAGCTGCCAGCACCACTCCTGGAATATGTCATTATTCTACGTGTGCAGAAAGAAGTAATATCATCTTTATTGGGCATGTTCCCATTCTGTATGTGAACCATCTGAGGGACATACTTTCTTGCTCAAGGCTAGAAAAGGAAGAGGGGAAAGGGAAAGGGAAGCTTTGTCAAAGCCCAGAGCGTTTGCTTTGTGGGAAGAGAAGGTATTTTGCCAAGACCACAGAAATGAAATTATGGTCAGAGTGAAAAAAGTATGTATTTATATAGAATTAGTCATGCTTTCAAGATTGTTTTTTTTCTCTAAGAAACTATTAGAACACCCATAAAAGACATTCATTTAGAAATTATTATTCAGATATTGTCATTTTCAAATACCAGTACACTAACCTGTAATATAGATGGGTTCATATTGCAGATGACAAGCCACTGGGGAGGCATCTGAGAGCGTAGAATAGGTACTGATAAACTGGAGGAAAACATGAGCCAGCTGTTGGAGCAGAGGATGCCAGGACCAGGGATACCATAATTCCTATGTATAGGAGCTATGCCTGTATTTAGGGATAGATATGATCTGTTTGAACTGAACAGTTAAGCACAGGATTGGAATCCAGAAGGACACAGGTAAATGAACCATAGAGGATACCAAAGTGGGGCTGGGGTGGCTGGGAATGAACATAACTAGGGAAGAGAAAAGTAGCTAAGAAGGAGACAGTTCAGGTTAGTTGGGAATGTTCACAAACGTAAGACAGAAAGTCTGAGCCTGGGAATCAATGTGCTTTGGGGGGAACTGGGGAGGGAAGAGAGGAGGCAAAGTCAGAATCAAGGAGGGGGTCAAGAATCTAAGTCTAAAGTCTGAATACTAGTGTCTTAGTGTCAGAGTTAGAGCTCAAGGATAGAAGGGAACTAGAAAGTTGTCAAGTTGCGTCAACAAAACAAGTCTGACTATTCCCTTTTTAAAGGAGCAGTGGTCTGACCATGGGCAATCAGGATTTTAAAAGCTCTTTACTCTAGGGGAGCCATGTGGGGCCTGACCCTAACCCCTATTGAAAATAGCAGTTCAGCATCCTTGTAGTCATTGGAAAGGGAAGGGGATAAGCATTTATATAGGACCTACTATGTGCAGTGGATAGAGCACTGGGCTTGGAATAAGAAAGGTTCATCTTCCTGAGTTCAAATTTGGCCTCAGACACTTACTATATGTGTGACCTTGGGCAAGTCACTTCACCCTGTTTGGCTCAGTTTCCTCATCTAGATAATGAGCTGGAGAAGGAAATGGCAAACCACTCCTGTGTCTTTGCCAAGAAAACCCCAAATGAGGTCAAGGTGAGTCTGAAACAACTGAACAATAACAGCATGTGCCAGGCACTGTGCTGAGCAGTTTACAAATGTTAACTCATGTGATCCTCACCACTAATCTGGGAGATTAGTGCTATTATTATCAACTTTACAGTTGAGGAAACCGAGGCAGACAAAAGTTGACTTGCCCAGGTTCACCCAACAAAGATCCAGTTTGAACTCAGGTCTTCCTAACCCCAGCCAGGCCCAGTGCTTGATCCAAAAAAAAAAATGACCTTTGTTAATGACATAGCACAGAGGGAGGGGGAAGGGGGAATGTCAAGGGGCAGTCACTGAACTTTTGAGTGTTTCCTTTGGCTGCAGAATCTCCGCCAAGAACTTGAAAGCAAATTTTATGATGATACATTTGATTGGGACCAAGTCCGCAACAACGATGCAGCAGGACTGCTAAAGATGTTTATCAGAGACCTGCCCAGCCCTCTCTTTACCGTGGAGTATCTGCCTGCCTTCATTGCTTTAGTGGAAAGTAAGTGAAAACAGCATCTCAGCATAAATAAACCACATGACACAGCGTGAAGCAGAAAGCAAGAGAAAGTTGACTGATGAGACATGACCTATGAAATTACATGGTGAAAAAATAACATTTGTGGGAAAACATCCCTTCCCCTCCCCTCCCCCCCCTTTTTTAATAAATTTCTAGTTACTTGGGGGTATTTGTTGTAATCATAATAATAACAACAACAGCTAGCATTTATGTAGCACTTTAAGGTTTGCAAAGTATTTTATCTGATTTGTTCCTTACAACAACCTTGTGATTTTTACAGATAAGGAAACTGAGTCAGACAGAGGTTGAGTGACTTGTCCAGAGTCACACAGCTAGTAAGTATGTGAGACAGGATTCAAACTCAGGTCAGACTCTAGATTCAGAATTGAAATGAAGTTGGTTTTCCCTCCAAAGTTGTCTTGTTTGCCCTCAATGTTTTACCACAAGAAACTGTTGAATCTGCCTAGTCGAGTTCCAAGAACCTCTATCATACAGCTCAGGTCTTGACAGTAACTTCATTTTGCCCAGATTTGCCCTTTATCTGCTGTTGAGCGCCATAGCCCAGAAATCAAGGTGTCTGTCTAAGAATGGGTATTTTACTTCTTCCCTGCTGCCATTATATTGCATTTTCCAGGTAATCTGGGTCAAGAGGTAGTGATAATAGCTGTTATGAGGAAAGGAATGAACAGAGGCTTTTCTTGACACTAAATTTGCTCAACAAATATCCCTTGAGTTAGCTAAAAATACAGCCTTCCTCCAGTGAACTCAGGATTTCCTGACTCCAGGTCCAGTGCTTTTTCTCCACTGTAATACCTAGCTACCCCTAATACAGGAAGGTACATGACTGGAAATTTCCCAACTTTCTATCTCCTTTGGTGGAGTCCTCAAACAGAAGCCATTCAGAAGGAAAACTGGACTTACCTCATGCCTCAGTTTTCTCATCCATAAAATAATAGATTGGACCGGATGTCTGAGGTTTCTTCTAGCTCTAAAATTTGCTGCAAAGTCCAATTTGCAGTACAGAGAACTGAAGTATTGTACATTGTTTTGACCAAGGTCACAGAATTGGTCAGTATTAGAGCAGGGAAGATTTTTCTGCTTCATTAATCTCTTGTAAGAATTCCAATTGGATTTTAATCATCAAAAGGCATGTTCATTTATAGACTATGATCTGTAAAGGCACTGATTGTTCAGGAGTTGCAAAATCATTAAAATTATTATAGGAGATGGTAATTAGTGAGCTCTTAAATTGATGGGAAAAAGCATTGTCCTGAAATTAGTATGTTTCCAGATCATTTCAGTTTTTAGCTATCAGTGGCAGGAGGAGAGATTTAAATTTGGGTTGCATTTATCAAAGTCCAGTATCATTTGTTCTGTGTAAGAGCTAGTGAGTGGCAGTATGGAATAGTGGATAGAGAGCTGACCCCAGAGCTAAAAAGACCTGGGGTCAAGTCTTGTTTTTGTCATATATGGGCTGTTTAACCCTGGGCAGCGAGTTCTCAGCATTTTCAGCATTCAGTGATAACGATAATAATAGCTAGCATGTGTCTAGCGCTTTAAGGTTTGCTAAGTACTTTACCAATTATTATCTCATTTTTATCCTCATAACAACCCTTGGAAGTAGGTGATGTTATTATGCCCGTTTTACTGTTGAGAAAACTGAGCTAGATGGAGAGTAAGTGATTTGCCCAGGGTTACACAACCAGGAAGTGTCTGAGGCTGGATTTGAACTCAGTTCTTTCTCACTCCAGGTCCAAAGCTCTTACCTTTTTTTGTGTCCTGGACCTCTTTGCCAATTGATTTGGCCCATGGACTCCTCTCAGAATCATGTCTTTAACATTCACAAAATAGGGGCAGCTAGGTGGCACAGAGAATAGAGCTCTGGCCTTGGAGTCAAGGGGACCTGAGTTCAAATCCAGCCTCAGACACTTGACACTTACTTAGCCAAGTGATCCTGGGCAAGTCACTTAACCCTGATTGCCTCACCAAAAAGCAAAAAAATATAAAATAAAATAAAATGCACAAAATAAAAGTGCTTAGTATTACAGTAGAAACCAATTATAATGAAACAAAGATAAAAAAATGTTTTTTTCCCATTCAAGTTTGCAAACTCCCTGAAATCTGTCCATAGGTTACAAAGCCCTCCTCTAAGCAGTCAAAATGCCTACCTGCCTTGGTAGAGGGATATTACTCATGCAGGAATTCCTTATCCCATTGAAATCACAAGTGCAGTGTCTGTCTGTATGCTAAGATAGGATACTTTCTGTGAGTAGAACTAGTGTAGAAAGGAGATCTGACCCCTTTTATTTTTAAATCATAAAGCATAGGGCTTTTCTACCAAGTCTGCTGTCCTAGAAAAGACGCGGCAGGCTTGTGTACCTCCCTGGGAGTCCGGCTCGGTGATTCAGCTGACAAATGGCTACCCTTCAATTCTGCAGGTGTTAAAGCATAACTCAAGGTCAATTTCAGTCGCTGAGGCCAGGCCTGTTCAGAGATGCACCTTTAAAGCAAAGCATAAAAATAAATTTGTTTTTTAGCCTCACAGTTCACTGCCTGATTGCTGTCCCTACAAATCATTGAATACAATGATCCTGGAAAAATATCTTAGAAAGAAATAGCTGTGTGACTTGTAAAAGTTTCCACATTTCTTTGTGTCACCTTGAAACTGAAAAATGCCACATTCCAGATGACTGATTTGCTATCAGGCAAGCCCACTATGACATCAAAGAGCTGGCTTGCCACCCAGGGTGAAGAATGGCCTTTTGGGTCCCACAGCGTACACCCTGAAGGAAACACGTTTTCCCAAAGGGTAGAGTCAGACTGTAGCACTGGGTTCTGTACACTCTTAAAGCTGTAGTTCTCAAGGATCCCAGAGTGGGTTGGGAGAGAAGGATCTTATCCATTACTATAATTACTTTTCTTTATCCAAAGTTTGCCACCAAAAAGTCTCATAAAATTAAAGGACTCATAGCCCATCAATCATAGCTTTAGACACATTTAGGAAAGTCTAATATCTTTCCCAGGAAATAAATGACCAACCAGAAAGAGAAGAATTACAGCTACTTTGCAACCAGTGCAATCAGGGATTCTATTAACTACAAAAGCAGTCATATGCCTAGGCTTCATCTGTAAAATGAAAGCTAGTCATTTCCCAATTTAGTCTTTAAACCTTAAAGGCTCTTTTGTAATTAACATATTATTGATTGAGATAAAGGCAAAGGTGACTTAGGACAGAGATGTCAAGCTCACAGCCCCTAAAACTCCCAAGTGTGTCATGAACCAGATTAAAGCGTAAGTGAGATATGTCTAACAAAGTAATAAAAATATAGTACAATGTAAATAATGTTAATTTGTGGTTTTCTAGGTCAGTATGCAGCCTGCAGGGACCTGTTTCTATTTGACTATAACATTACTAACTTAGCATATTAGAGAGGCATCATGGCATATTACTCAGTGGACTGGACGTAGGATTTTGAAACTTACTTCTGACATTTACTAGCTGTGTGACCTTAGGCAAATCATTTCACTTTGGCAAGCCTCAGTTTGCTCATCCACGAAATGGATATAATAATACTTGTACTCCTTACCTAACAGAGGTTTTGTGACATTTTGTAAATGTTAGATACTGCTATTAAGAAATAGAACTTAATTTTTGCAGACAAAGAAACTGAGGTCTCCAATGTAGATCGGCAACTGTTTTCTTCTAGAAGACTTTTCAAATTCACTTTGCTCAAGGTTATACAGAGGCAGGTCTCAGCCTGTGCCTTAGGTATTAAGATAAAAATCTTATTTGTTACTTTGCAGAGCCTGTCACAGACATTACCTTTCAAAGATGCCTGCCTAAACAAAGTGTAGTCAAATCCTTTATAGTATGACACTCTGTTTCATCTGCCTCTGATCAGGTTTGATTTACAAACTCTGAGCTTATCTGTAAAAATTCACATACAGATTTTCTTCAGACATGATGTCCCAATTCTAAATGATAACACCCCCCCTCCCCTGCACTGCCAAATTCTTATTTAGGGCCACACCATTCCTCTGTTCACACTATTCCCTCGCCCTCTCCAGTCTACACACGTGCATGAAAGGGTCAATTTAATCTCCTTGATGAGGTGGCATCATGTCATATAATCTAATACCTTGTCAGGAGAAAAAGTGTTGGGGCAGCTAGGTGGTTCAGTGGATAGAGCACCGGTCCTGAAGTCAGGAGGACCTGAGTTCAAATCTGGCCTCAGACCAAACACTTGACCCGTACTAGCTGTGTGACCCTGGGCAAGTCACTTAATCCCGATTGCCTCATCAAAAAAAAAAGAGAGAGAAAAAGTGTTGGCATTTCACTGAAACATGTAGGTCATGTTTGCATTTCTCTGACTTTCACCGATTACATAGAAGCAAATTTAGATGTTCCTTTTACTTCAGAGCTCTCCATTGATTCCTCAGCCATGATATGGTCTAGTTTTCCTCTCTAAGAAGAATATGGGGTGGCACAAGAAAGTCTGGGTTTTCTGGTGTGCTCTGAGTTTTGGCCATAACCCAGAAGATCTTCAATCTTGGAGCAGAATCGATAAAATTCCAGGGAAAGAGACAGACTTCTGTCCAACTGAGGCAGATGCCAAATCTCAGACATAAAAATTATAGAATCTGAGTTGGTTTTGTGCTTCTATTAGGAACACAGTGTTATTGAGTCCCCAGAGATTATCACTTTTATTTCTATATATCTGCAAGTTAAGCATTGGAATTAGGGGTCATCCAGTACATGAAAGCAAGCTTGTTATATTCTTTGTAAATCTGTTTACAGTATCACAGTCTCATAATATATGACAAAGCACTCTGAAAAAAATTTGCTCATTTAGAACTGGAAGAGAAATTAGAGACCAGTAAGTGCAACCTCCTCACTTTATAGTGAGGCTGAGGGTGGTAAAGTGACTCACCCATGGTCATGCAGTTAGTGAATAGCTAAGGCAGGATTTGAACTCAGCTCATTCTGGCTCCAAGCTCAACACTTTATCCACCACATCACTTAGATGCCTCATTTCAAAGTATATAATATATCCCTTCAAAATCATAGGGATTTTTAATTTGCTAATCTGTCCATCATATGTCATAAAAGTGATATATTATGGTGTCTAAACAGCCAGAAGCCCTACCCAGTTTGGGCAAACCTTGTGTCATTGTGCTGAAGACACTTTAAAAGCTGTCAGTAGACCTCTGGCACCTCGAAATACTAGCAAGAAGTGTTTTCAGGATGCATCCAAGGAGTTCACAGTGTGTGATGATGCTTCTGTTAAATTTTTAGGAATCTCCAAGATTAAATTGCAATTACAAGCTTTGCACCTTTTGATCATGCTTCTGCCTGATGCCAATAGAGATACTGCCAAGGTAGGTCATATCACTCCTACTGCCAGTCATTGATTCTCTCTGTTAGTCTGAATTTCTTACAGTGAAAGTCACAAAATCCAACGTCAACTATGAGTTACCCAAAGCTGCTGTTTTGTGAGCTCTCAGATGTGCAGGGGTCCCCAAACAGTCCTAGGATAGTTATAAGCCATGATAAACTTAAAACTGTTCTACAGCTTCTGGGAGCCCCTGTATAATTCTGGCTACTTAATTGTCTATTTCTAGTAATTCAGTAGATGCTACAGTACTGCTTAGATTTTACCATATTCTTGCAAAAAACAAAAACAAAACCTGAATTAATTAATAAATCCAGTCTCCTTAAGGAAATCCTTTCTGTAATTTCTTGTAGCAATGACCTAATCTTGTATGATTATCACAAACTCATTGATTTTTGTAAACAAGTCCTCATGACTCTTCTTTGTCAGCATTTCTAGCTGGGTACGTGTGGCTATATATTGCCCATGGAGGGCCATTAGGTTCCATGTTTGGATCTTACAAGTTTCATAGACTTCATTCAAAGGTGAATTTATTTAGAGAGATGAACCTATTTTCAGCCCGCTACTACTGCTCTGGGAAGTAGTTTCGGTGTCATGATTTTGATTATTACTACTACTACTACTACTCCTCCTCCTCCTCCTCCTCCTCCACCTCCTCCTCTTGTTCAGTCTTTAGTTGTATCCTATTCTTTGTGACCCCTTTTTGATATTTTCTTGGCAAAGATACTGGAGTGGCTTGTCATGTCCTTCTCCAGCTCATTTTACAGATGAGGACTGAGGCAAACAGGGTTAAGTGACATGTCCAGGATCACACAGCTAATATGTGTCTGAAGCTAGATTTGAACTCAGGTCTTTTTGACTCTAGGCCTGGCAGTCTATCCTAGTGGCTGCTGCTGCTGTTACTGCTACTATAATGCCTTGGCATATTTTTTCTTATTACGCTTTTATATTTATTGGGTCTGAATGACATTTTTTTTTCCTGAATGACATTTTTATATCATTCTGTGGGAAAAGATTCCATGAGACAAAGGATACAGTTTATGAATTTTCAAATAGCACAGGGGATAGAGAGCCAACCTTTAAGAGAAGAAGATTTGAATTCAAGTCTCTGAGATATCCTGGCTATTTGACCCCGGGCAAGTCATTCAGCCTCTTACTGTGTTAGGCAGGTCTGTAAAAGTCTGAGTTGCAGAGAAGGTACTGACTTGCATTGGTAAAAGGAATTTCTCCAATGGGGGAATTGAATAAAATCCTTCTCTCTTCAATGGAGTCACATAGCTTAAAGTCATCTGTGTGTCTCGAGTCAATTACCAATAATTATAGCTGTCAAAAAGTGGAAAGGGCCATCTTAATAGGTGGTGGGTTCCCTATTGCCAGAGGTGCTCAAACAAAATCTGAATGTTTATAGAAATGTTATAGGAAGGATTTCTGTTTAGGGACAGATGGACAGCTGAGGTCTCTTACAGATCTGGATTTCTATGATAAGAGTCATTGTCCATAGGCTTTTATCAAACACATTCCTTTCCTTCATATCCCCTTTCAATATCTGAAAGTTAATAAAAATTATGTCATTTATTTTGATGTCTTAATCCATAAGTCACTTGAAGGAATCCATAAGTCACTTGAGTACTTTAAGTTTCAGAACTGAGGTGAAAATATTAGTGACTGAGGGAAGAAAAAAATTCACTCCAACCTTTAGTATTTTAAACTAACATAATTGAATCTGGGACAGCTAGGTGAAACAGTGGGTAGGACGCCAGGCCTGGAATCAGGAAGACTCATCTTTCTGGCCTCAGGCACTTTCTAGCTATGGGACCCTGGGCAAGTCATTTAACCCTGTTTGTCTCAGTTTCCTCATCTGTAAAATGAACTGGAGAAGGAAATGACAAACCATTCCAGTATCTTTGCCAAGAAAACCCTAAATGGGGTCACAAAGAGTCAGACACAACTAAAAAACAACTGAACAGCAAAACAACAAAATACAAAGCTGGTGTAAAGGGATTTTTATCACTACTCAGTTATATATGACTGAGAATCAAAAATTTGCCAAACTAATTTAAGCTAAATAATAATCTCTCCTTCTACCTAGAACCCCAGAAGATCTTAGTCATGCTTTTGGGTTTCCTGAAACAGTTGATTATATTTTTTTTTCCACATTTCAATTGTGACTAAGATTGAGATGGAAAAGTACAGCAAGAGCCTCCATTTACCCACAATATCCCTTGTAACTAGAAAACAAAACCAAGAGTGCCCAAGTTTCCTGTTCTTGTGGGATTTCATCTCTCCTTTGAGGACTCCATGAGCTTGGGAAGGCTCAGCTGAATCGCAAGGCCCCTTGAACCTTTTCAAAGGTTTTTTTCCCCCCCAACAGAAGTTTGCCAAGGATTGCTTCTCAATGATCTCTCCAGTTTTTCTCTTTGCAGGGCTAAAGAAGGAGAAACTGAAAAAAAAAAACAACAGAGGAAATTTTATCAAAAAATAAAATCTTAAAAAACTCATTCAGTCTTTTAAAATTTTTCGATGAAAGATCGGGCTTTGGTGCCATCTGAACAAGTTGTCCCTCCTTAGTTTAGCTAAAGGAGACACTGCCTTGGGTAAATAATTTTCAAGTGTGAAGTCATAAAACAGCAGTAGGCATCTGGGGATCCCTGTTAGAATGACTTTTCCCCCACTGTGCTCCCCCTACCCTTGAGGGAAAAAAAAAAGACTTTCTACAGGAAGCCTTTCCCAATCCTTCTTAATTCTAATGCCTTCCCTCTGTCCAATATATCTGATTTATCCTTTATATAATTTGTTTGTGCATATTTGTTTACATGTTGTCTCCCTTAATAGGTAGTGAGCTCCTTGAGGGCAGGGACTGTCTTTTGCCTTTTTTTATATTCCCAGTGCCTGACACATAGTAGGTGCTTAATCTGTGCTTCGTGATTGACCACTGACTGATGTCTGTCTCGGATATCAGTATTTAGACATCCTTAAAAAACAATTTTTTTTAATCCTAACATCTGCCAGATTTTCAGGGGCTGAATATATTCAGACTTTGAGATCTTCAAAACACTGAGACAAAAGGTCACAGGGTCTCCAGTATCATAACTTCAACTATAAAATGGAGTTACTGTTGTGAAGCAGTCTATAGAAAAACTACTAACATTATTTATATTAACACCTTTAAACAAACAGTGGGACGACATGAAAAATTGAACAGCTTAGTTCTACTGGCAATGCCTGGAGGTGCTGGGGGTGAAGTAGAGAAGATGAGGGATAGAAATATACAGTCTTCATAAGGTCACTGGTGCACTTTAGTTACCCATTATATTAAATGTTATATGTTAAATTATTACAACATTTTATATATAAATAATATGAAATGATATAATTATGTTGTATATTATACTTTGTTATATTATATCATGTCATATATATCATATATAGTTATATCATGTTATATATTAAATATCATATATTTTGATATATTCTATCATGTCAGATTATATCATATCATACATTTTGTTAAGTTCTATTATGTCATATATCATATATATTTTGTTATGTCACGTCATGTTATATTATAATAGCATAATAGGAATAATGTTTCCTATTAGGCCTTCTTGATATTCCTCAAGAAAGTGGTTGCTAACGAAGGGAAAAACAAAATGAGTTTGTGGAATGTTTCCATGATCGTTGCACCAAATCTCTTCATCTACAAAGGCAAACGCTCCAATCAGGAAGAGATGCAGGCAGCTGCTACCACTGCACACATCGTCCGCCTCTTGATTAGGTACCAGGACATTCTGTGGACGGTGAGTGATGGTTCTCCTTGTCAGGGTTCCGTTTATAAAATGTTTAAAGTTTTTTGCTCTTCCTGGAGTATGAGTCCTGTGCACAAGGTGCAACCAAGAAAAGAAAAACAATGATCCCTGTTTTTCCCAGAGTCGGCAACCTCTCAGTCCCCATGGGCAGCGTGGGATTGGGCTCTTGGTGGCATTTTTATGTATAAGTTTCAGTGGCTGTTCTTCACCACTCCTCTTATTTCCTGCTTTTGGTACCGTAACTCTTCTCTGTTTCCACTTACGAGACACTGAGATGAGGTTTCTTCAGGATTTTATTGTGCCTGTTTGTTCTAGGATATTCTTCAGGCTGGGCCTGCCTGTGAGAAAAGAGTAAATAACTCCAAATATCGGACCACTACTGTCCCTATAGGAGGTTACTGATTTCAGGGCCCAGAAGAGCAGCCTGGGAATCTTTAAATTCCTTGTTTCTTTCAAAACTGAAGTTCAGGATTCTCCTTTTCTATGAAACCTGTCCTAATTTTCTCCCTCACCCCAACTGCTACTGTCCCCTCAAAGTTAACTTTGTATTTATATTTTAGATAGCATGCATATTGTCTCCCCTGATAGATTTTAAGGCCCTTGAGACAACATGATTCAGAAGTTAGAACCCAGAACCTAGAGTCAGGAAGACTTGAAATCGAATTCCACATGGGACATTTATTAGGCGTGACACCTGACAAGTCACTTCTCTCTGTGCCTTAGTTTCCTCATCTGTAAAATGAGAAGATTGGGCTTGAATTGGAAAAGGACAGTTTATGTCCCAATCCTAGAGAAGGGCAATGCCAAAGAACGTTTGAACTATTGAACAAATGCACTTACATCACATGTCAGCAAGGTTATACTTAAGATTCTACAGACTGGGCTTCAGGATTACATGAACCAAGAATTACCAGGCTGGCTTTCGAAGAAACAGTGGAGCTAGGGACCAAGTTGCCAACATTTGCTGGATTAAGTGACAGAGTTCCACAAAAACATCTACTTTTGCTTCATTGACTACACTAAAGCCTTTGACTGTGTGGATCTCAACAAATTGTGGCAAATCCTCAAAGAGATGGGAGTACCAGATCATCTTACTTACCTCCAGAGGTCAAGAAGCAACAGTTAGAACAGTGGAACAACTGATTGGTTCCAGATTGGAAAAGGAGTACAACAAGGCTGTATATTGTCACGTTATTTATTTAACTTATATGCAGAGTATATCAGGTGAAATGCCAGGCTGAGTGAATCAAACACTGTAATGAAGGTTGCCAGGAGAAATAGTAACAATCTCAAATATGCAGATGATACCACTCTGATGGCAGAAAGCGAAGAAGAATTAAGAAGCCTCTTGATGAAGGTGAAAGAGGAGAATGAAAAAGCTGCCTAGAAGCTTAACATTAAAAAAAAAAATCTAAGATCATGGCATCTGCTCTCATTACTTCCTGGCAAATAGAAGGAGAAGAAACGGAAGCAGTGTCAGATTTTATTTCTTGGGCTGAAAGATCACTGCAGATGATGACTGTAGCCATGAAATTAAAAGATACTTTTTCTTGGAAGGAAAGATATGGCAAATCTGGACAGAATACTAAAAAGCAGAGCTATCACCTTGCCCACAAAGGTCTGTCTAGTCAAAGCTATGGTTTTTCCACTGTGGTTTTTACTGTGCGAGTTGGACTACAAGGAAAACTGCCTCTATAGAACTGACACTTTCAAATTGTGGTGCTTAGGAAGACTTGAGAATTCCTTGGACAGCAAGGAGATGAAATCAATCAATACTTAAAGAAATTAATTCTAACTATTAATTGGAAGGCCAAATACTGAAGCTGAAGCTTAAATACTTTGGCCACACAATGAGAAGATGGGACTCATTGGAAAAGACTCTGAATCTGGGAAAGATTGAAGACAACAGAATAAAGGATTGGTAGAGGATGAAATGGATAGAAAATGCCATGGAAGCAACAAACATGAACTTGGACAGACTTCAGGGAATAGTGGAGAACAGAAGGGCCTGACCCGATATGGTCACAAAGAGTCGGTCATGGCTGAACAACAACATCAATACAAGGGCCCCCTTCCAGTTCTAAATCTATGATCTTTTATTGATCTTATGAATGTTTCATTTTTATCTTTGGATTTCCAGCACTTTGCCAAGTGCCAGATATACGGTGGCTAGTTAATAAGTGCTGATTGATTGATTGGGAGAATTACTGAACCATAAAAAAGTGAGCAGTCCACTGGTAGAGTCTGGCTTACCAATTTGACTTCTTGCCATTTCTTACGAGTATTTCATTTTTGTCTTTGTAGTCCCAATACGCAGCAGAGTGCCAGGCATATAGTAGGCAGTTAATGAGTGCTGATTGATGATTGGGAGAATTACTGAACCATTAAAAAGTGGGCAGTCCACTGGTAAAATTTAGTTCGACTCTGACTTCTTACCATTTCTGCCTCCTTACTCCAGGTCCCATCTTTCCTGATCACCCAGGTGAGGAAAATGAATGAGGCAGCGATTAACAATACGAAGAAGCAACCAATATTTGACAAAAGCATGAGAAAACTTCTCAGAAGGAAAACTTTGGAACGAGAAAGACCTGAAAAGATAGAGGTAGCTGGTGCATATAATTCAACAGCATGTTCTTTACTAGTCACGATCCCATTTCTCAGGAGAGACATAATGTGACTTGTGCTTTTGTAGCAAAAGACATTAAATTCCCAGAAGATATTTGCAGAGAAGCGTCAGCAATAAAATGTAGCCACAGAGCGGCAGGCTATGCAAGTTAGAGGGTATAGAGCAAGGGTGATGTTATGCCCTAATTTGGGTGGATATAGGGCTCCAATTCTGAAGAGGTTTTTATCCCTTTTATTAAAATGCTTGGACCATATACTGATTATTAGTATTTTTATTTAATACTAAGCACTTATAAACAAGGCTAAAATGACCTTGGCAAGCGTTGAAAGCTGATATTTTAATCCCTGTGAAATAGTGAAGAGGAATGTCAACACTAAGTCTGCCCAATAGCCAGGGGAACAGATGTCCTTGAATGAAAGAATTCTAAAATAATCAATCAAAATGATGCTTTCTGAGATGCAGCTTATCTTAGAATTCTGCTCAAATCCAGTGGTTAACACCAAGATTCAGTAAGGAAACCAAGTCTAGGAAGACGACAGTGGTTGCCTCCTTGAAGGGTCCTGGTAAAGCAAACTTTTCTCTTTGATTTATTCTTTCATTAGTCAGAGATGCTTGGGTAAATTTCCATATAGATCATCCAGGTGAGGTCACTTCAGACTAAGCTGAGTTGAACCAGAGATAGTCTACATGATGTGATGGAAACAGCGGTGAACTTTTGATCAGGAGATCAGGATTTGAATCTGCTTCCTCACATTTGCCAGCTGTGTGACCATCAACAAGGGATGCAACCTCTTTGAGCCTCAGTTTCCTCCTCTGTAAAATGGGCATGATGATATTTGCATTACGTCCCTCACCGAATTGTCATGAGGGAAGTGCTTGGTAAGACTCAGAGATCTATATAAATCTCAACAATTATTATGGCTATAAAGCATGAACCTATTTAGAGAGCTCGAGCTGGGAGAAAATGTAGAATTCTCAAACATTATAAAGCAAGACATTGAAAAAGGAAGACAGAGTCCCCATTTGCATTCGCTATGATACAAGATCATTCTTAAGGATCTGTGTTTGTTCTTTAGGCCACCAGCCCCAGGACTTCGAAGACTCTACCTACGTCACCATCTTCAAGAAGGAAGGTGAGATAACTCTCTCTGTTTTCTTTAACCAACATCTTCCTTGCCATTCCTCTAGCTGTACAAATCTGTCAAAAATGTACTCCTAGAGTTAGAAGGTGACTTTGAAAAGTGATGCATGCCATCATGGAACTTGGAAGTGTGACTGATGAGTGAGCAGTACAGGGAGTATCAACTTACCCATTGATCTAATAAAAATCATTCGACAGCATTGGCCAGGCGATTTCTAGAGCGAATACTGTGGGACAAGAGATACTGAGGCCATGCTGTCACTGATGATAGGGAGTTCTCATGATAAGCTAGGTTATGGTTGAGGGGATGATGTGAGACCCATTCCACCTTAGGAGGAAAGCAAGGTTATGTAAATAAGGTACATTTTATTTAATCTAGTAATGTGCTTGTGAGACCTAAACAAATGAACCTTAGAAACTGTCATTAGAATATTTTTTTCAATTGTTCTTAAAAATTTCAGTGGGCTGCCCAATTCCAACATCTAGGGGCGAGTTATACTGAATAGTTGTATATTGTATCTCATTTCTGAAAGTGCATTCAGGAAGGAATAGGAGAGGTCTTAGAAAATTTTGCCAGAATCTGGTGAGACTTAGACTGGATGGTGAACCTTGAGGATTAACCATCAAGGCCCCACACCAGCCTGCCGCAATGCAGATTCTACAGATGACTGCTTAGATCCTCTGCAGACTTTAAATGGAAGTGTATTCCCAGTATAATGCTCAATGAAGCCCCATCTTTTTTTTTTACAAAGAGTGAAGAGCACTGATTTCCCAGATAGCTCTTATGTTTATAGAGATATGCTGGTGTGGCCCATTTAGGGCCAGCAGAAGGAAAAGTATAAATATAAAATTTAAGAATGCCAAGCACTGAACCACAAATAGTAACTGCCTAAAACAGTAGACAGCCCACCCTCCTGCAGTCCAAGAGGGGTCAGCTAATTTTGAGCCAGAGGTATTTATTACACCACCTGTGGCTAAAAAGACACAGCTGTGAATAGTGAGAAAAGAGCTGACCATCACATAGAGTGCACATAAACAGTGCTAAGGATTGTGGGACATGACTTGTATTTCCTAGTCATAAAAAGAAATGTCATCAGTAGGAAAATCTTCTCCTGTTAAATGAAGTGACCACAATAGGCATATACATAGCTACTGTTGGCTAGAAAACAGTTCAACAAGACATCCCTACATTCCTATGGAAGCCCAGCAGTCTCCCATTTGTATCAACCAGCCAATGTTCTTGAAAACCTACTGTGCACAAGGTGCCATCCAAGGTAGCCATGGTCCTGACTCTCACATAGTTTACAACCTAGTTGAAGAAATAAAATATGAACATGTCAAAAATTGAATAATGGATTGCTAGCGGTAAACAGAATCACAAAAGCTGTCCCAAGACAGTACAGGATAAATCACCAGATTTATAGGAGAGTCAGTAAATGCTGTAGACATTGAGAGGAGGGCTGGAGGGGTCTTCAAAGTTTTCACAGAAGAAGAGAAATTTAATCTGGGTTTTGAAGGATGAATAAGAGTACAGTAAGAGAAAAAAGTAGAGGAATTTAAGACAGATGAATAATAGCAAGTAGAGCAATATGAAAATATAAATAGGATGTATTCATGAGACAGTGAGTAGACCTATTTGGCCAGACCGAAAGATAGGGATGGAAAAGTAGTTTGGGACCAGATTATGGAAGGTTTGGACTCTATCCTGTAGGCAGTAGGGCATCATCAATGGTTTCTGATCAGGATAGTGACATGGTCAAAATAGTGTTGTAGGAAGTTTAGCTTGTCAAGACTGGGTTGTATAGGACTTGGGGCAAGGCCGACCAAGAGGCTAGTGAAGCAGTCTAGAAGTGATAAGATGTGAACCGTATCCCTTTTCCCTCCTACTTTCCTGTATACCCAGCTGAGTGTGTACATTGTTCCGTCTTTGAGCTAATTCCAATTGATGGAAGGTTCACGTACTCTACCACCCCTACCCCTACCCCTCGCCACCTTACTCCCTTCCCCTTTAATGTAAAAGCTCTTTTATGCCTCTTTTATGTGAGATATTTTACCCCATTCTACCTCTCCCTTTTCCCTTCTTTCAGTGCATTCCTCTCTCTCACTGCTTAGTTTTATTTTTTTAGATAGTCATCCCAGATAAGATATGACTCTAAACCAGAAGAGTGGAAATTACAATGGAAAGGAAGGGCACTTCACTTAAAGAATTAATAGGATTTGGTGATAGATTGTATGTGATCAATTAGGGATAAGGAGATCTCAAGGATGATTTCAGTGTTTGTTTTTTTATTATTTTTCCTTTATTATTTTATTGATATATTTTGTTTTGATACAATATGTACCTTGTAACAAACACTTCAGTGGATAGAGTGGATAGGATGGGTAGTGCAGTGGATAGAGTGCTGGACTTGGAGTCAGGAAGACCTTAATCACATCTGGCCTCAGATACTAGCTGTGTGATCTTGGGCAAGTCACTTAACCTCTGTTCACCTCAGTTTCTTCAACTGTAAAATGGAAATAATCACAGCATGTACCTTACAGAGTTGTTATAAGGATAAAATGAGATAATATTTGTAAATGTCTTAGCATGTAGTAGATGCTATATAAATGCTTATTCCTTTTCCCTCCACCTTCCACCCCCTAAAAATGAATTTCCTTAAAACAGTTAGTCTAGATTGCTAAATAGAATGATTACAATCAGTGGTATTTTTGTGTATTTTTTTCTGCTCTTATCATTTTGAATTGTTAGCAGAAAGGAGGAATATATGACTGCCAGATTTTTAGCTGAAATGACTACCACTAACAGAAATAAGGCAACTAGAAGGTAAACTTGTTTTCCTCAGAAGAGAAATTAAGTAATAGAGAGACAAGCTGAGTTTGAGGTGATAATGGAACATCCAAGTGAAAGTATCAGATAAGCATTTAGACACATGGTATAGTTTTGGAAGTCATCAACATGGAGTAGCGGAAGCCATGGAAAGAAAGAGATGAAAGAGAAGAATGTAGTGAATGAAGGGCCTAATAATTGAAACTTGAGAAATACCACCATTAAAGGGACAGGAGAAGAGTATCTTTGATACCTGGCAGATGGAGAGCCTATAAAATGGAAATCATGGCCAAAGTAAAGAGAGCTGGAAGAATTCCATTAGCAGAGGCCTAAAAACCTGAAGGCATTTTTCAAATGATATCAGTGGTACAATAAAGCTTTGATTAATAAGAATCTCCAATTAATTATTTTTTCTTCAATCTGCTTTTAGGAGAGAAAGGGAAATAACAACAAAAAAAGTCTGAAATTAAGTATTTATTTAACAAAATTATCCAGGGTATAGGTATATTTTGGGGACAAGCTTCATTTAATTCAGTGTCCTCTGAGGAGAAGAAATGACGTTGGTCCTGCAAGATCCACATTACTTAAGGAAAGAATTAGTCTTGCCCACCATATTCACTAAGATGGGAAAGGAAGAAGATAGATAGATAGATAGATAGATAGATAGATAGATAGATAGATAGATAGATGATAGATATAGATAGATACCTATCTATCTATGTCCATGCATATATATTTAACATTTTTATCAAGAAAAATTGAAACAAAAAGTTGATTTCTAAGTTTAGCTGAAGTTAACTAGAAAATTCATTTTAACCACAATAGTCTAGTTCTCTTGGTATTTTGATAGTTCTGGATGTCCCGGATAAGTTACTGTTATAAGAGAAGAAAGGTGTGAACCTCCTGGACATCCACCCCACCCTCAGCTTTGCACATCTTATTCAGGAGCCATTCTCTGCAGCCATTTCTGTGTTATCATCTGTCTGGTTGCAGCTCAATCAATCAATTAATATTCATTAAGTATCTACTATGTGTCAGGTATTGTGCTAAGAGCTAAGGATACAAAAAGAGGAAAAAACCATCACAGTAGTGGTAGAATTTAAAGATTCAAGATCCCGGTGGATGGTCTGATGTTACAGGCTTTTTTTTCTGGTAAGATAGAAAATTTAGGAGATGTTCTTTGGAAGCCCTACCCTAACCCAACCAGTTATAGCCCTGAATTCTGCTTCAGGGAGGCCCATCTTGAATGCCATCCAAAGAGATTTTTATTGCAGGGTCCAGGCAAATTTGTCATAACATCATTTTGTCAATAACCCCATTGTATACAAGAGTGCCCAGGATGATGGTGTCGTAGTAAGAACTGAATGCGTGTTTAAAAAAAAAATCAAGATGAAAGTAAAAAGAATCAAAGAACTGATTCTAGCCCTAGCTAGAGTACAAGTAACTCTTATACAGAATTTCTTTTCTTCCCCTCTTTGTAGTCTGATATACCCGAAGGAGTCATTAGAGTACATGCACCTCTTCATTCCAAGGTGTCCATGGCCATTCAGCTTAATGGTCAGACCAAAGCCAAAGATATCCTGGCTCGATTTCACTGTGAGAACAGGTAGGTGATGGAGTGTGTGTGTGTGTGTGTGTGTGTGTGTGTGTGTGTGTGTGTGTAGGGGATGAGGGGTGGGAATGTCTTAATTAAAGGGAATTGTGGCCAAGTGTATTGTTTGCTTGAACCTTGATCTTTACTTTTCTCAATAAAGCTTTAGAGCCTCTTAGTTTGGGTGCTTTTGCCTGTACTCCTGTAATTTGGAGTAGAGAACTAAACTTATATCCTTTGAATCCTCTATTGTTTGCTTAAAAGCTATAATTAAAATAATGATGATAATAATAATACCTTGCAAAAAAAATGGCCTGTTTAATGTTTCATCTAAAGGAAAATCTAGACAGATATTTTTGATCAAGGTGGCTTTAGAAGTTTTTTAGGTTTTTGTTTTAATTCAATAATTCAATTCAACAAGTAGCATACAAGATCCCTTTCTTTTACATGCAGCCTTTCCTGATCTCTGCTTCTAGTTTACTTCCTCCCCAAACTTCCCTGAATTTATTTGATGTATGTTATGTGTATGCTAATACCTGTGCCTGTTGTCTTCCTCTTTAGAATGCAGTCATCCCTTCCACATCACCAAGGTTAGGGGGCACAGGGCTACCACGATCTGGAAAATCCACAAGAGAAGTCCGAACTTTTTCTTTTTCTTTCTTTTTTTTTTTAATGGGGTATTTACAGTACCTTATTGTAAAGTTTGAGTTAAGTATCTGATCATAGGCTCTGTGTCATCTGGTAGCCTTTGTGTGTTGTTTGTGGCTTCTGCAAAACTCCCCCAAAATTCTCCATTTAATTTCTTATACCTACCTACAATATGTCAAAACCATGATTGGGAAAGTCAGGATGTGGAAGGGATAACTGTGTAATTCCTTAAGAGCAGGAACAGTTTCACTTGTCTTTGTAACTCAATGTTTAGCACAGTCCCTAGCACATAGTAAGCACTTAATAAGTATATGTTAATTGGTTAATTGATTGATCACCCATTTATCATCAGCTTTGCTAGGCACAGGAAATATAAAGTCAAAATTAAAATGTGCCCTCTCCTTAGGTAACATACATTCTCATGGAATGTATGCATATGATATGTTAATGGTAAACAGCCAAGATAAAGGGGTCATTTATTGTATCTTTGGCACTACAGTTCCTTTCAAATACACCACAGGCAGTAATCATGGGGGTCAACCTGATGTCAGTGACTGTCTGCTTTGCTCTCTTACCGGATACTGGCTAATCACAGAGCAAGAACATTAAAAGAGAAGAATGAAAATCATTTTGTAACCAGGCACACTTACTCTGAGACGTGATTTTGTCCTGGGGTTTTATGAGAAGAGAAAAGAAGTCTAATGCCAAACCCTGCTATCTGAAGGCAGACATGATTTAATGGTCTCTTGTATACCTTTGACATGTATCCTAAAGAAGCCTTCCAATCATATTAAAAAGTAATAGCCTGAGGCCAACAGAAACACTCTGGACATTTAGTCATCTGTTGCTGCCTATCGTGGAAACCTAAATCACTATAATTGTTTCAACTTGACAGTCATATGGGGGCTTGGAGAGGCTTTTGAGGGATTTAGCAGACAAATGCCTGGCTACATGGATTGCATAACTGACTTGATGCTCATTATATTTAGACCTGTGTAAAAAAAAAATGTTCCTAATAAAAGAAATGTTGGATCAAAGAGCCTAGGTTGAATCAGCCCCCTTAGACCAACTTCTTCAGAAAGCTTTTTCCTGCTCATCTTCCTAATGAGACAGTGCCTGTGACATCTATTGCTTTAATTGCTGGAAACATGCCATATGTAATCCCTTTACACTGAAGAACTGGCTTTCTGAAAACTACAATTCTTCTGTCTGCTAAACCTGCCTCCAAACAGGCCTTTATCCCTACTTCCTCCCCACCAAAAACTGGGGCTTGGCCCTGGAGCACCCTGGGTTCTAAGGAATGGACTTTTGCTTTATCTTGTCAAGATTGAGGCCTTGATCTTACTCCCTGGCCATGCCATTGAGTGCTTTTGGACCCCCTCCAACTTTCTAGTGCTCCTTTACGTGTGGGTTTTCTCCTAGTAGATCACAAGCTCTTTGACTGCAATGACTTTCTTGCTTGTGTGGCCTTGTGTCCCCAACGTTTGTACGAAATAAGTGCTTAATAAATGCTGCTCTTTTTTTTTTTGGTGAGGCGATTGGGGTTAAGTGACTTACCCAGAGTCATGCAGCTAGTGAGTGTCACGTTCCTGAGGTCAGATTTGAACTGAGGTCCTCCAGACTCCAAGGCCAGTGCTCTATCCACTGCGCCACCTAGCTGCCCTATTAAATGCTCTATCAAATATCTATCTAGCTATCCATCCATCTATCTGTCTATCCATCTTTCTATATCTATGTATCCATCCATCTTTCTATCTATCCATCTTTCTATTTATCCTTCTATCCTGTGTGTCTTCTATCTATCCATCTATCTTTCTACCCTGTCTGTCTATCTATTTATCCATCTATCTATTTATCTTATCTAATCCAAATAAGAAAAAAAAATCTATTTCTCACCATGAAAAGAGGAGAATTTAGAGGTTAGGGGTCCAGAGGTGACCATCTGTTTTCTCCCATTACCAAAGAAAGGCTTTCCTTTGCTTCTTTCCTGTGGCATCTGAGCTGAAAGTTCATCCTGGCATTTTAATATGAGATGGACCATTCATTAAGTAATCCCTTTTGGTATATAGCCCCTATCCCAGCGCTATAGTTTGATCATAGAATCATAGATTTAGAGCCTACAAGGCACTGAAGAGTCATATAGCAATATTGAACAGATAAGGAAATTGAGGTTGAGAACAGTTAAGTGACTTGCCCAAAGTCACACAGATAGTAAATGGTGGAGTAAGAATCCCAAACCTGTATATCCTTTGACTCCAAATCCATTACATCCATTATTCTTTTCACTATACCAAAGGCCTCAACCTTTCAGGGTCTCACCTTCTGAACATGAACTGTTTCTCACAACCTTGTTTGTCCACTCCTTTACTAATGTGAGGAGTTAGGTCATTTTTAAAAATAAAGTCCTCATCAGAAAAGAAGAATGACTTTAGGAATGGGGGCCATGTCAATGTCTCTCTTTTCCACTTTACTAGGTACCATGATGCGGTGAGGTAAAATAACTCAACGCAGGCACAATGCTGCTATAGATGTAGCTCACAGTCTAGTTTAGGTAAACCAGAAGGAAGAACCGATGAGATGTTATATCTTCAGCAGTGGGCATGCAGAGGGCAGTGGAGCAGTTGAATTAATTTCGTTGGGTCAGTGACATTTTTAAAAAATGTTTTCTGAAGTAAACCTTCAGCTAGATTTTGAGGGGCATGGATAGCTCAGCAGGTATGAAATTTGTTGTGGTTCAGTCATTTTCCAGTCATTTCCAATTCTTCTGTGACCTCATTTGGGCTTTTCCTAGCACAGATACTTGAATGGCTTCCCATTTCTTTCTCCAGCTCATTTTGTAGATGAGGAAACTGAGGCAAACAGAGTTAAGTGACTTGCCCAGGGTCTCTCAGCCAGTAGTGTCTGAGGCCAGATTTGAACTCAGGAAGATGAGTCTTCCTGACCCCTGGCCCAGCACTCTGTGCACTATGGCGCCACCTAGCTGCCCATAGAATTTGTAGGGGCTTGTTACTCTGGGTGTCAAAAGAAATATTTTCATAGTAAGATCATAAGAACTAAAAATCAAAATGTTTTCTTTCTCTTAGCCATGATTCACCAGGTAGCCTTAAGATTCAGAACCAAAGCTTATATGAAATTGGAGGCAATATAGGTAAGTGTTATTTTAAAATTTTAATCCTAAATTTCCTGATTCCTTGAGAGTACTTGTTTTATTTTTTGTAAATACCTATTGCAAATATTATTTTATTCACTATAAAAGTACATTAGCATGAACTACTTTCCAAGTGAAAACAGCCTATACAAGTTGCTAATATTTTTAGCTCATGTCAAAATAGTTGCATGACTTTTCTGGAGTGCTGTTTAAATACATGTTATAATATTTAAATGTCATTATTTGGCATTTATTGAGTATATAATGTAATAGTCACATATTGGTAATTTCTTCTTACTAGTTGAGGAATGTGATGTTTATTTATGTCAATATTTACATAAATACAGAGTAGTTTGGTGCTAGAACTTTCTAAAGAGAAATTAAGCTCCTTAATACAACACAGTGCAATGTGATACAATACAATATACAGCACAACATAATTCAGTATTATGTAACACAATGCAATACTATATAATACAATGCAATGTACTACTCAGTACTACTGTGTATAGTACAGTACAACTCAATAATAATAATGATAAAATAATATATTATACAATACAGTACAGTACAATGTAACACAACATAGTTCAGTACAATGCAATACATAAAACATTTCCCAAGTGTCTCCTCTACACAGAGCCCTGTGTTTGGTGCCAGAGAGCTCCAAATAGAGATAAGATATAATACCCAACCTCAACATAAGATAGCAATAAAGATTGTTTCATAACTCTCTAATGAACTTATCAAGTAATAGTGTGCATCGTAGCAAAATGCTACGGGACATCTCAAGGGGAAGGCTGTTATGGAACTGGAAGATCAGGGCAAGTTCCTGGAAGAACTTGGCCTTTAAAAGAGATGGGTGGGAATTTAGCAACTGAAGAAGTAAAAAGAGCATTCCAGGTAGCGAGAAGGAATTTAGCAAAAGCACTTTACATCTCACCTGCTCATGTATTTAGAGAAATGTCAAAGCCTATGTAAATGGTATGAGCATAGTTTGCGTAAGGTTATCACATTGGAGCTGACAAGGGACCTTAGAGGTCATCTAGTCCAGCTCTTCTTAAACTGTGGGTTGTGACCCAGAAGTGCTGAAGGGGTCATGAGTGGAAAAAGTTTAAGAAGCCCCGATCCTAGTCTAGCCTCTTTCTATTATAAAAAGAAACCTGAAAGCCAGAGTGACTTGCCCCAGGTCACACATGGAGGATTAGAACCAAGGTCTCCTTCCCTTAATCCGATATTCTTTTTTACTACACCACGCTGTTGCTAGATAAAAGTATATTCTAAAAGTTTTCTTGAGTAAAATAAATCATGATCCCACCATGGATTTCTGAGTTTGACAAAAGGTCTTTTAATTAAGAAGAAAATTGGGTTTTGTGGCTCACAATTGATATCTGGAAAAATAATACCACATCCACCTCCTCAAACAAACAAAAAGATGTGAATTTCAGAATAGGGGACAACAGCAGAATGGAGAAGTTGAAGGGGACTGTCATAAATTTTGTTAATTTATGTAGGCAAGATAAAGAAAAATTTGAACAAATAATAATTCACTTCAGAGTAACTAACTCTAGGATAATTCAGCTTTCCATTGGCCTTTCAACCATAGCCACATCCAGGTAATTCTTTGTTAAGTGGCTATTTTCCACATACGTTAGTAGTCTCGAAGGAAATTAAGTATGTTCGGTAAAGTAAAGCCTGTACTTTAATGACATTTGCTTCTTTTCTTATTATGAAATAGTTTAAGGCTAAATCCAAGAGCTTTTGAAGTCTAACAATAATGTGCTCATTTGCATGGCATGGAAGTGTGCATCATTCTGGCAGCTGTCAGTCAGATTTGAAGATTGATGTTTAACTGATTCATGTCTTCCTGCCAGCCTATCATTTCTCCTGGCTGCAGAGGAGCAACCATTTAAGAAGAATAAGCTAAAGTTTTTAAGCATGGATGGAGAGTACAGTATACTCTCCATTTGTCCTTAGTGAAAGAGGTATTTGATGAGGTCAAGTGAAAACCAGTGACCTGAAGGTAGCCACCTCAAAAGGCATTCTTTCTCATTAAATAAATAGAAGGGAAGTTCATGTTGGCCCAAATGGACATCCTGACTCTTCATGATGTCAAAACTTTCTGGAAACATAAAAATTATTTCCTTTCAGCTACAGGATGAATTGCTTTCCCAGCACCATTTTCAATGAATAATTTTTGTGTAGCATTTAGATGATAGATCTGCTTGAGGAACTTTCTTTTGTATATTCTTTCTGGTAATTTTCATGACAAAGTGAGGAAAACAGGAAATCCTAACAAATTCAGAAATATGACATGGCAGATATAATTCAAGTAAAATCAGCAACACTGTCAGAAAGCTACTTTCTAACTATATATCTGGCATAAGTTTAAGTGCTAAATGTTATTAATCAACAATGCACATAAATCCTAAATGTAAAAAAAAATGTATTTCCTGGAGATCAGCGACTTTCTTTTTTTGTCTTTCATCTCCAGCACCTTAGCATAATCATAGGAGGTCCTTTTAATAAACACTTATTGATTGATTGGTAAGGATTTACTATCATTACTAATAATACTAGTTTATAATAGCTGACATCCATTTTACTATTATGATTATTATGATTGTAATTATTATTCTGCCTGCTGTGGGCATTTCTCAGAAAATCAAAGAAATCAAAGCAACATACCTTGAAATTTACTTAATGCTAATCTTTTGTAGTCTTAGATTACTGTCTTCAAGGTGTATTCTCAGATAAGAAGTGAAATTGTACGTTTTAAAAAAAGTTCTTGCCTTGTGTAATAAGACTTTGAGAACTGAGTGGCCAACTGGGATTTGTAGTTTAGAGGGGTAAGCACTCTTGCTCTTCTCAAGGCTGAATGAGAAGGCTTACCTGATGTGGTCAAGCTAGAAAATAATTCTATTGTAGATAATATATTTGTATAATCCTCAATCCAACTAAAAAATATCCTTAGGGATATTTTACCAGGCAATCAGAAAAGATGACTTTTGCGAAGAAGCCCAAGAATTGATCCACTTAGCCTCCAAATGAATGAGACAGTTAAAGAGCCCTGCTGAAGTCAGCTGGCCTTTTTTTTTAACCAGTACCATGTGAGCAAAGTAAACATGCTTCTCCCTTTCTTTTTGTCATAGGGCAGCACTGTTTAGATCCTGATGCCTACATGTTGGATTTGTATCATGCGAATCCTCATGCAGAGTGGGTGATAAAACCAAAGACAAGTTGAACCTTCAGGAAATGCCCTACTTCTGAGGGAAAGGACTCCACTTGTATTTTCTAGGCCAAGAAACTCCAGAATATGATGGAAAACCAAGTGGCTGCTTTTGACTCTCTCTGTCCTTCCCAGCCCTCTTAATCTTGAGATGCTTCTTCAAGCCAGAAGGTATTGATGTGTTCACTGGTTACCAACCTGCAAACCCTGAGATAACCCCCCTGTCGTAACCATGGAAGCAGGAGTTTTCTTATGCCAGTTACTTGACTACAAAGGAAGGATGATGGTACTTTCAAAGAGAGGCCAATCTGGACAATGGAAAGTTTCATCCTCTCCAGGATTTTGACTTAATAATTAAAGAAAACTGTGTCCTCTACTTGGACGCCTGTCCTACTCAGTCTTACAGCCTACCAAATGTAGCAAACACTACCGAATGCAAGACATGATGGAGGGTGCAGAGGAGCTGGCAGGGCAGTTTTGCTAGCATTCCAAAGCAAAATTCTCCTTCACCTTTATATATACACCTATATAGTAACAACACAGGGCTGCTTTTCAGAAAAAGAATGGAAATGCCCAGGGTAGTTGTGCTGCATAAATGCAATTCTTCTATTCAAACAAAACTTGTTCTGAAAGTAAAATATACACTATTTATGCTTCTGACTCACTCCTCATTATTTGGTTATTTTGAGGAGAAAGAACTACTGTTTAAAGCAACCTATACTGTTTATCTATGTTGTACTGTATTGTCATTCTCATCATTCTGATACCAGTATGTACTTCTGTGTGTCTGAACAAGTTGAATTTTTTTTAAGCTTTTCATCTTACATTATGGACATAGTCTCTGAGCAAAGTGCTGTCAGACTAAGGATGTGCCTGTTCTTTCATTTCTCTTTTCTTTGTAAACAGCGGTGGATTCTGTTCCCTAATCATTATCATATTATTTGGTGAATGTCTTTCCATGTGCCAGTCACTGAGTTTCTCTCTTCTCCCAAACATTTCCTTATCTATATTTTATGACCATGCTTAATTCTATAGCCACAGTTTTGAAGAGACAGTACAGCTTTTATCCAGGCCTGAAAAATACAGCTGCCTCTGGTTCTTACATGGTATTGAGACCATTTTTCACCTTTGATCATCATTCACAGGCACGGTTAAGCACAACTGTTGGACAATTAGACCGTACATATCTATGTATGTTGGGTATGTTTATTGTCATATATTTTCCAGATCTGGAATCTGTCAGATCAGTTATTCACCAATCATCCTCATTTAGGAAAGAGAGCCAGTACAATGTGTTAAGGAATGCTATGGTATTGGTTCCTCTTTAGATAATAAGGATAAAGCCCCTTCTAGGATCAGTGAAGGATGGCTATAGTTTCAAAATTGTGACAAGATATCTTGGGGTGCATTCTGGTTTTATATTGTCCCATCCATCCCTTCTCACATAAACAAATTCTATGTCATCTTTCAACCTTTGGCTTAGGAACGGCAGATAATGGATTTGGGGGATTATTTTGGAGCTATATGAACTATATCCTAGACCTAAATGCCTCTTTCAGTTGCAGCAAAGCATTGGTTAAAGCATCTGGTTAAAGTTTTACATTTTTTATGTAGTTTCTCCTATTAAGTCTCAGGTTCTAAAGCATTCATAATATCTGCCAGCATTTGTAATAAAACTTTAAAATACACCTCTGTCTTCCAAAAAAAAAAAAAGAATATCTTGTTTTCTCTATGTAAATACCTGTATTTCCTGACTGAAAAAAGTTAACTTTTTTTTTTATTTTCACAAAAAGGGATGACATTTTGAAGTAAAATGTCCCCAAATCAAATTCCAGACATTTTAGACACCAGAACAAGAAAGCTTCCTAAGGTTGTCATACATTTCTCTATTCTAATTTGTCATTAATCTATAGTTAAATATAGAGGATGGGGAGAAAAAAAATGATTTTTCTGTACTCATCTACTTCTGTGAAATTTTCCAACCCAAAGGCCTATCTGAATCAATTCTTTCATTCACTTCACTTCGTTCAAGGACAATATCTATTTGTTACCAAAGATTTCTAGCATCTGAGGGAGAAGGGGAAAGCCTTCCTTCTAAATTAGTCTCATTAGCCTTATTGCATCTGACTTGAATGTTTACTTAGAAGGCTCTTAACCTAATGTCAAGAGAGGATTTTTGTAGTGCATATGAGAGGTAGCAAGACAGTGGGGAGAGAGCTACAATCTAATCTGGACCATTAGACCTGGCTTCAAATACCACCTGCTTCTCAGACTGATTATGTGACCTTGGGTAGGTCATGAGTGCTAGTCATAAGTGATCTTAGTGCTAGTCTTAGCTACTGAAACTAAATTTCAGAGAGGATGCTGTCTTGCAATTAGTCGTTTCATCAGCTAGGAATTCTTTATGCCAATGAAATTGCAGGTCCAGTGCCCCTCTCCCTATATTTATATTTATTAGTTAGTCCTCTGAAAGAGGTAATTTACTCATTGGATTCTTGGTGACTAAATCCATCCTTAGAAACAGAAGTGGATCTTTTCACAGCTCAATTCTGGAACAGCAGGTGGATTGAAGATCCTTACTTTTGACTCTAAAGAGCCTGTCACCTATATTTTGGGAGCGCTGTCTTGTCAACATTTTACATTTGCCATACTTTGACAACCAAGCTGCAAAGCTGAAAGTTTACCTGCTAACAGAAGATGATGTTAGCTGAGGGGGAAACATGACGTTTCTATAATTCTGCCTGAATTTGCAATCTCCATTCCCCAGCCATCCCTAACACCCCCATTATCTGGGCTCTTGGGGGACTGCTAGATAGCCATGCAGTGAAATGTTAGAGGAAGGGAAAGGATTTTAAAGGAACTTGACCCAGAGACTCCATAGCTGCCTTAAGTGTTTTTCCTTTCTCATTCTGCAAAAAAATAAAAATTAAAACATGAAGGCTTATTTTGCACGCCGGCACACTTTGTTTGGCGTAATGGTTCTAGGAATCGATGACCTTTGAAGCATACTGGAACCGCTCATTGTCATTACAATGTACATACAAAATAAACTACCTCACTTGCCTTACTCAGACAAAAAGCATAGTGGATTATAATAGCTTTTGTTATGAAGTGTCCCTGAGTCTTATTATTTAATGTCAACCTTGTTTTGCTTTTGATATTCCTAGTTTAATGATGCACAAGAAATAAGCAAATGCTCTGAATAACAAAATAAAATATTCTGTGAATGTCGTGCTCTGAAAGAGTCGGTGCCGAAAACATATTCTCTCTGTCATTAATCATTTGTTTCTTTCTAGCCATGTTCAGACAACTGGGAGTGAATCCCAGGAGTTCAAATGAGGGATTAAAGGGGAAAAAAAGTTTATCTTTTCTTCCAGGCATTTTTCAACTATTTTCCACAATGTCTTACTGGATTGGAAAATAACATCATGCCTCTCGATAAAGCCAATCGTTTGTATATTTCTGACCCACACAAAAGGGAAACATGGATTGTTTGTTACAATAACTTCCATTGTAGTTATAATAGCATATTTGTAAAGTAGAATGTGTACGTTGTATTTTAACCATGAAAATAAAAAAACAAAACCCCAAATCTTTGTCACTGAGACTTCTTTCTTAGATGAATTTTTCTTACAATTACAACACAGTGTTGGTTACATTTTGTTAGTCCATAATATGTTCCTTATATAAAATTGTTTTTAAAATCCTGATTTGCTGTATACTTGAATAATACTTGAATAACTGGCTTGTCATATACTTTCTTATATACCAAAATAAACTAAAAATAGCAAAAGGAAGGCAGCATTGTGTAGTGGAAAGAACTAGATTTCTCCCCTTGCCCCTACCACTCACATTACATAGCTGATCTAGACCTTTTCTAATTATGTATTTCCTGTACAATATTTTTTTAAGGCATATCTTATATGCAAGTCATTGGTACCGTGCTGCAACGTATGCATACCTACCAGATCTATCTTTTAATTGCCATTTGGGTCACCGGCAATAATTCTTTGGACTTGTGTTGGCCTATGATTTGTTGCCATATAGCATCACCAGAAAGTATTAGCGTTTAAAAAAAAAAAAGATGACTTTTTATTTAAGATCAGTTTTGGATTATTAAACAAGGTACAATTTCCCAAATCCTAATCCAGAATGCTCTCTTACTGAAGTCAACCTAACTTCATCTGAAGTGTCTATCTAAAAGATATGCCTCGATGGAGCAACTCAGTGGATTTGCCATTCAACTTTATGTCAGTCTGGACACTCTTAATTCATTAATTATTTCTGTGTGGATTGTCAGGCTGAGCTCTTGGCCAATCCTGACCTTTCTCTGTCTGCTCCTTTTCATGCGTTCATCTTTTGGAAATGAGTCATTCCAAGACCCACTGGAACCTCTCCTTGATTTCATTGCTAATTTAACCCTCCCACTCTCATCCCTAGAAGCTCTGACTGTTTGACATGCCACTATGCATTTAGGTTGTCTTTTGTTGTTCCCTTGGGTCTGACCCTTCATGACCCCATTTGTAGTTTTCTTGGCAAAGATACTAGAGTGGTTTATCATTTCCTTTACCACTTCCTTCTCCAGCTCATTTTACAGATGAGGAACTTGGGCAAAGAGGATTAAGTGACTTGCCCAAGGTCACACAGCTTGTGTCGGAGGCCAGATTTGAAGTCATAAAAATGAGTCTTCTTGACTCTGCCTAGCACACTATCCACTCTGCCATCTTGCAGCACATGAGACTGCTACCAGGATTATAACTATAGAGGCAATTAAGTGGTATGTGGAAAGAGTGCTGGACCTAGAGTCAGGAAGACAGGAATTCAAATCCAGTCTCAGATGCTTTGTTACCTGTGTGACCCTGGGCAAATTTTTTAACCTCTGTCAGCATCAGTTTCTTCAACTGTAAAATGGGGATAATAACAGTGCCTACTTCCCAGTGATGTTTTGAGATTCAAATAAGATATTTGTAAAGTGTTTAGTATAGTGCCTGGCATATACTAGGTGCTTAATAAATACATACTTCCTACAGGGAAATTAGAAGACAAACTTGACATTGTTTCTAGGCAATGTGAATGGAGATCCAAGATAAGCTGCAGTTCAAATAGTGTTGTCCACAAGGTGTGGTTATAGAATCATGTTTCATATGCAGCTGTTTAGTCAGGCGGCATAGAAATACTGGAGAAATCTCTCACACTTTATTGTCAAAGGGCGTATGAAGACTCAGGACCCAACTCATTCTCTATCTTTTTGTGTACATGCAGAAAAAAAAACCACATATCTGTGCTATTAACTAGAGATATAATCAGCAAACATTGGTGGGAGGAGGAAGGGAATTCCAAGACGAAATTTTCAAAATAATGAAATGATTTAGATCCATGAATTGAAAGTAGAAGGAATAAAAGAAACAATGGAAGAAATGTAGAGCTAAGTCAGAATCCTTTTATGTATTTATGTGTGCCCTGTGTTTATAGCAATTCACTAATATAAACCCAAGATGAACTTTTCTGTTGGAGTAAACTGAAGGAAGAAGTGTTACCTTCAGCCCTCCAAGGCATAAGCAGTCTGTTCCTCCCCTGTGTTTAAAATGGCAAACTGGAAACTTGCCAAGCTATCAACAAGCTACAAAGAAAGAAATGGATTTTGACTTTCAGGGATGTGTTTTAAAGGAAACCATGTGAGCAGCTCCATTCCCGCATCAGCTTGACTAATAACAGAGTAATAAGTGAGACTCCATTCTCTTCTACAGGAAAAAACAATGGCCCCCTCAGCCCAGTATTAGTTCATCACCTGTGCTTTCTGTCACAGTTAGGATCTCTTTTTTGCCCAATATAGCAGACCGAGGGCCAGAATTTCCAGACCTCAATCTCCCCTCACTGCATGTTTCCATAGAAACATGAATAGAAAGGCCACCAACAGTGCAGAGTGAGAATTCACTTGTGTATTTCTGTTGAGGGTCCATCAGCTGAGAACTGCAAATGTCAGTTTCCTGGTTTAGTTGCTGAGGTTAGTCTCCTTTGGGTCACTCCAGGTGCCATGCCTCAAATGCAGGGCGCATCTCTCTAACCATAACTGGCCCTTACCATGACACTCTGACATGCAGGTTGAATAGAGTCTCAGTTACAAATTTCACCTTTGTCAACCAAGAGACTGACAGAGTAGGACAGTGTAGGCACCACCAGAGATTTCAGAAAACATGAAAGGGGGAACCAGAAGAGCCTTGTAGTACAATGACTTCTTTTACCATGTAATGGGATTAGTAGTGTCCAAATGAAATTGAAATTTAATCTAAAACCCTTCCCTCTTGAAAAGTGATTGATTACAAAGAGAGGTAGTACTTTCCTTCAACTAGGTAGTTGAAAAAAATTATTTTTCCCAGACTTGCAGTATATAAGGTTTTCAGCTAAGCTACAGCAGCACAGCTAGAGTTAACAGGTAACTACATGAGAAGGAACCAAATGAGGCTTTGGAAACTAAAATTTAAAGCTGCTTAGTTGGTTTAAAGGAATGTATTTATGTGGCTTTTTTTTTTCATTTTCCAGCTTTTCAAATTATACTTGCTTTCTATGAGAAAATGAGCTGATTAAGGAAAACAGCCCTATTTTGGGGGAGGGGGGGAGGAGGAAGTTGACAATTAAGGAACTTCTAATTTGTTGCTATTGCCAACTTTGTTGTCATGCAGTATATTCTGATTTTGCTGGCCAAAGAGAAAATTAGGTCAGGACTTGGAAGAATGATGCTGAACAAAAAGATACATAAAGAAAGATTTCAGCCCCTTTGTTCCCCTTGTAAGTAGCTTTGCTTGCAGGGGGGACTCTATTCAAGATTATGTTGCAACCATCTTCTGCCCTCTGCTGGAATTTCAATGATGCTGGTAATTTTTCCTTGACAGTTAAAACTTGGGATTTATGAAAAATGAAAGCATTCACATTTCACTTTGCCTTTATTATACATTGTGGTGTTCTATTTATTGTTTTTGAAACCCAATATACAAGAAAATGGAATACTGTCAAGTAATCAGTAGGAAAAAAAAAAACACCTTACTGTAAACAGTGATTAAGCAACATTGGTTTAGAGACCCAATTAATTCTATAAACATTTGAGACAGCTTAGTAGAGGTATTTGTTGTACAAGTGGTTTTAGTTTTAAACACCAATATGAAACTTCTCCCTAGAAACATCTGACCTGAGTTGGAAAGTACAAGTGAACCAAGAGTTCACAGTTACGTTTCCCTTCAATTGAAATATAATAAGATGCTCCCTGACCAGCTACTTCTCTTGGAATTTAGAGCTCAGTCCCGGGGCAGGAATGTGGGAAGACTCCACGGAGGTCAAAAGCTTTGCTGAAGTCAATGGATTCCACTTGCTGACCTTTAATCAACGTGAGCTTTCTCATACAGCCCCGGAAGGAGGTGCGACTGCTCAAGCAGTTTTGCTTTGTATCAGCTGTTTAGAAAAGGAGATTAAAAGCTTGTCAAATTTTACTGGAATGACGAATGCATAAAAGTGAAAATGATACAAAATAAAAATGATCACAAGACGAGTGATTTGCACATCCAGATCTTGACACCTTTCCCCCCTACCTCCCGCCATGTTCTTTGGCTCCTTTAGCAATAACATAAGGCTTTTGGAGTTCTGCAGATGAATGTTATGAAAACTTAAGCATGGTTGGATGCTATTATCTAAATCATATCTCTTCTTACCTTTAGATGTGTGTGTTAAATGAAATCATTTATGTAAAGCGCTTTGTAAATTTTAAGGCGTTACCTAATAAACATTAGTTATTATTATTGTTAATAATCTATACAGAAATGTATTCTTATTTAAAGAGCATGGCATAGGGGAGAAAGAGCTTCTCTTAGAACTCAAGATATAACCTGATGGAATCAGATTTGGCCAAGTTAACAAAGCCCCTAACGTGAAACACATAAGGAACATAAGAATGTTTTTGGTCTAACAACTAATTCATTTTATTCAATGAAGATTTATTTCCTTTGTGAAAGATACTGTGTTAGTGACAGAGGATAAAAAGACCAAAAAAAAAAAAAAGATTCCTCCCTCACCTTAAAAGGGCTTATTTCTACTGGGGAGAATCATAGGATTGAGGAGGACCTTCAAAGTCACCTAGTTCAACTCCCTCATTTAACACAAGAGGCACCTAAAGACCAGAGACTTATCCAAGGTCCTACAGGCAGTAGTGACAGGGCCAGAATTCCAACTCAGGTCCTGTGATTCTACTTGCAACATGCTGCCTTGAGAAACCACACATACACAGACAAGTAAATGCTATCAGAATCAAAATAATGGCGTCGTGTGTCAAAGTGATAGCAGAAGAGAGGATTTGTGTAGGAGCTGAGCTTTTATTCTAGACCTGGGGGAACCGTCTGTGTAATATTATGTCGAGGTGACAGCCAGCAGGCCAATTTGACCAGGTCAGAGACTATGTGAAGGGAATAATATGAAATAACTGAACCCAGGGGCGATGATGAAATCACGAGGGAGGACAAGTAGATAGAATGAGAGAACAAGGTCCAGGACAGAGTCCAGTAGTGAGTAATGATACTGTTTTATGTCTATCAGATGGCCATCTTTTGA